ATCTGTGAGGTTATGCTAATTAACCATACAACAAACGAGAATTTTCCATGTCCATTTTTTACTGAAAAATCCGACATCAAATATATTAATTAGTACATAGCTTTGGATCCATCCAATCATTTTATAATAGACAATTAATGGAGAGAATACGGCACCAAAAATGTCCAAACCCTACACTTTAACTATAAAATGCATTTTACACTTATTTTATGTTTTTTAGCAAAAAAAAGATCCAAAAAATGTTTCGCTCGGCGAACTTTATTTCTACGCCCCCCTTTCCAAAATCCTGGATCCGCCCCTGATATCATAAATTCTAATATGATGTTCTTCAAACGCTTTGAGTACACACCCGTGGTAAAATATTGATATATTGGTTGGGCTGTTCCGATCTTACTCCCACGTCATATGCCATTTTATGAATGAGCTACCCGACGTCATTGAACGATGACGTAAGAATATAAGCATTTTACAGGAAAATGCACGTTTGTGCAACCGAAAGTCATCAACCCGGGTCAAAGGGTCAACCCGTGGTAAAATCAGTATAAATTCAAGCTCCCATGAATTATTTCTTAAATAAAGTTCGGGATTGATTTTAGGGGTTATGACCTTAATTGTTTAGTTAAAAGGGGCCAAAAATAATTCTTTTGTAATACTTTGTATAAATTTCTTATTTCTTTACCAACTTCAATATGGTTTAAATCAATGTCTTGAATTCGTATGGTTCTTTGATATGCTGTATCTAACCGTGTATTTGGATTTGAGATTTTGGGCTCAGTATTTGAATTGGTACAAGGGTCCAACATTAAACTTTGTTTGATTTCATCAAATATTGAATTAATGGTGTTCTTTGATATGCCGAATCTACGCATGTATTTAGATTTTAATTTTGGGGCCTTCTTTCAAATGGGTCCACATTAAGGCCCAAAGGGTCCATAAATATACTTAGTTTGTTTGATTTAAAAAAAATGAATTCTTGGGATTCTTTGATATGCTGAATCTCACCGTGTATTTAGATTTTGGAAATTGGGCCATGAAAGGTAAAAGTCCAATTTCAAATTTTTCAGTTTTTCGACCACATTCATTTTGTGCCAGAAACCTATGCTATGTCAAATATTTAATCACAATCCAAATCCAGAGCTGTATCAAGCTTGAATGTAGTGTCCGTACTTGCCCCAACTGTTCGGGGTTCGACCTCTGCGGTCGTATCAAGCTGCTGCTTCCAAGTCTTTAGTTGGACCTGGCTTCATAGTATTAGTCCCAGGTTTGACACGGCCAGGAATCGAACCTACGACATCCAACACTCGAGCGAGCATGCTAACACGAGACGTTTGTAAGTATGGTAGTTTCAATAATTTCAAAGAAATTGTTTTATTGTTTTAAAAATAAATTAATTTAAATTAATTTTTTACAGGTGAAATTTAAGTGTCTGCTCAGTTGAAGCGTTGCTTTTTCGTTGTCCTGTTACACTTTTTAAAACCCCTTAACTCTGATTTTAGCGGACTTGTGTCTGAATTTTGGTGTCACAACCATCTTTAAAGATACATAATCATATTTTAGAATGATTAGGTGGAAAGATGAGAATGAAGTATTTTTATACACTACTATTTTACATTATATTTGTTTTTGCAGTTTTCTGTACAGCCAACGGCCGACACAATAGACCAAGGGTGCGAAAAGCAGTATGCGACTACATATGTACAACGACTTGGCAAGCAAAGCAGAAGCTGAAAAAGAAAATACAGAACATCTCATAAAGAAGTTAGAAACAACATCGGACATGCCGTGTCCCAGTATCAAATATTTTGTGTACATGTATATTGAAGAAGTTTATTTTGAAGATTTGAATGAGATAATTCTATATAAAAAAATATTGAATCAAGTGATACAGAAGCAAAGAAAACTTGACTAAGTGATGCCCCCGCACTCCACTCTGAAGTAACTGTATTATAGGACTTTCTTTAAGATATTATTGTGTCTGGGAGACACAAATGATACCCCCGCAGATGCAAAGTGTTTTTTTAAAATACACAAAAATGAGCATAGGAGCACATAGGTCTATGGTTCACTGTAGGAGGAGTTATTCGGAAACGTTATGCACCTCTTATTCAAGTATATACCTGGTACTCCAAAAAAGACAAAGTTCAATTATCTCCCAAATATTAATAAAAATCAAAACCCTGACTACATGCACACCTTCAATACATGTACAAACAGCCAGCAAAGTGAAAACTTCCTTGCATTCAATCTGTAGGAGGAGTTATCTGGAATAGCTATGCAACTCTTATGCAAGTTTATCCTCCAAAAATGGCAAAGTTCAACTATCTCCCAAAAAAGCAAATATCAATAAAAATCAAAAGCCTGACCACATGCACACCTTCAATAAATGTACAAGCAGCCAGCAAAGTGAAAACTTCATAACATTCAAACTGTAGGAGGAGTTGTGTGGAATTGCTATATACCTATAATGAGACGGACGGAAGGACGGACGGACGGACAGGGGTAAAACTATTTGCCTCCCAACTTTCAGTTGAGGGGGCATCAAAATAGAAATTAATTAATAGCTATGAAGAAGGCCAATACAATTGTAAAACCCCATTGAGGCGGTGTGTTACTGCACAAGGTGCTTCCACTGCTTAGAACGATTGTAATACAATACAATACACTTTCAATTCCATCGGTGTTTGTTTTGAATCAATCTTTGCCAAACAAAAATTGTACTTTATAAAATGCTTTTTACTTAAATAATAGATTTAGCTAGAGCACCAAATTGTTAATCGAAATCAGAGATTAAAGGTATCGTAACATACATGTAAGGGTCATTGCGTTTGAATCTTATTGTCTGCTGTCCAGATTGTTTTAGGTAGTAATATAATATGATTTATGTCTCGCCTGCGACGAAAGTCGCAAAATGCGATATATTGGGATTACAATCCAGCGGCGGCATTATATTTCAGAAGGTAGATGACCTAGATGCTTCATATCTTGTATGCGGAAACCTTAAAGTTATGTTACGAAGTTTTCTTATGTTATATGTCCATATCCTTTACTTCATTTTCATGGTTCGTTGGCTAAGGTTAAGTTTTCATGTTTTTTTTCAGTTTATCAGATACTAGAAGAAATGGGTCAATTATATTTGGTGTATGGAATGATTGTAAGGTGTACATGTCTGTCTGGCAGGGTTCAAATGACCTTGAACTTATTATCATGGTTCATTGGTAAATGTTCGGTTTTTGTTGATAGTTTTGTTTCTCAAGTATTGTAAGCGATAGGCCCACTGTATTTGGTGTATGAAATAATTGTAAGGAGTACATTTCTGTGTGACAGGTATCGTCTGACCCTGACCTCATTTTTTAATGGATCATTGACAATGTTAGTAAGTTTGTGTGATACTTGTAGTAAATAAGATTGAGAATGGAAACGGGGAATGTGTCAAAGAGACAATAACCCGACCAAAGAGCAGAAAACAGCCCAAGGTTCTTCATCACATAGAGAAAATCCCGCACCCGGAAGCGGGTTTCAGCTGGCCCCTAAAAAAATGTGTACTAGTTCAGCAAACATGGACGTCACACTAAACTCTAAAACATATAAATGAACCAAAATTTAATAAAAAAAAACATACAATCATGGCATTCATACCTCAGCGGCGGGGTTCAACATGTTTTGTGAGATCTCAACCCTCCCCCTATACCTCTAGCCAATGTAGAATAAACAAACACACAGCAATACGCACAGTAAAACTCAGTTTGAAAGAAGTCCGACTGAGTCCGATGTTAGAATAGGTAACAGAAGAAACTAAGCAAAATGACAATGATACATAAATTAACAAAGGACTACTAGCAGTTACTGACATGCCAGCTCCAGACCTCAATTAAACTGATTGAAAGATTATGTCTTCATCATATGAAAAACAAGCACAATCCCTTCCGTTAGGGGTTTAGTATCATACCATCATAAAATATATGAGAAGAACATAACCCGTATTATGCCAACAACTGGTTTTAGAATAAATGTGTTTATTTCCGATGCAAAGACCCTATGAGTGAATCAATATTAATTCCAAAAATGCCATCTTTAATGACCTGACAACAGTATTGTAACTATATCCCTTCTGAATAAGTCTTTTTAAAGGTTTGGTTAGCTTTTGAGGTGAATGATGACATTTTTGTGCTTTGTATAGAATATTACCATAAAATATTGGATGTGAAATACCTGAATGTGTAAGATGTCTGCACGTTGATTTATATATATAAACCTTCATATTACGGACTTTCAGCATGTTAAATTCAATCATAAGTAAAGCAGACGAGACATGGCTAAAAATAGAACATAGGGGGAAAATGCAAGTTTTGTCTATTATTTTGATAACCGTTATAAACAGAGAAAATCTGACTGAGGAAAAATGTTCAGAATGTTAGGCTATTTTTACCATTTTTTTGCGTTTTTGCCTTATATCTTAAAAATTAGAATAGATAGATAGAAACTTAAATAAGCTAAAATGATCAGCAAGACAAGATCTACAATGATATAAATCGTCAGACGACTCCTTATTAAAGTTATTGCCCTTAAATGACGATTTTTACAATTTTTTGTCTGCGTTTTGCCTTGTATGATAAAAATTATAATAGATAAATAGACATTTTGAACTCGAAAAATGATCAGCAAGGCAAGATCTATTAACAAGTCAAATTTTGCCGATATAGTTAGTAGACTCACTCTTTATAGGAATGATTGTCCTTAAATGAGGATTTTTTTACCCTCTTTTGTGTTTTAAGCAAAAACTAAAGAAGATTATAGAGAGATACTAAACAGACTAAATGATCAGCAATACAAGATCAACAAAACAGATTTTTGTCATGAATTTTATTCTCGTCTACAATGTTGGAGAATGTCCTTTGTTGAATATGCACATATACCAAGGTGGGCGACGCAGGCTCTTTAGAGCCTCTAGATATGATAGTTAAAATGTATATGCATATTTGATCTAAAAGTGAAACAAATACTTAATAATTCTAATTTTATTAAATGTTTGATACTTTTAATTGTGTGCATATAAATATATACGTCTAAATATGTGACAACGTTCTCCATCGAATAACCTGAGTTATACGGGGGTAACATCACAATTTATATATATACTTCGTCTCAAATTTAGCCCAACAATGTTAGATCTGTAAATTTGCGTTAGCCAATTTTTGATCGTTAAACATCTTTTAATCTAAAAGTGAAACATAATGTTCTTCCCTCAGCGGGTTTCGAACCCCCTGCATCTGAGACATCGTAGCAACAGGTTTTTGTGTTTTAAAAACTAAGATAACTTCCATGGGAGCAAAATGATTCATACACTAAAACTCTCTTGATCTTGATCTTGAAAAGTTATAAAATTTGTCCACGCTGTGCATAAAATAGGGAAAAAAATAAGGCTGAAAATGCACTAATTGTTTGTAAATACAATATATACATATAGTGCCTAGAAAATCAATATAACAATGTTAGAATAGAAATGATTCTTGACTTCCTCCCCAATATGGGCTGGAACCTGCACTTTTCCGTTTAACTTCTATGGCAACACTGCATAGCATTGCGCAGTCGCCTTATCCCCTTCTCTAACTATAGCTAAAAAAAATCAGCTTTCGTTTCGGGAGGTTTTACATTCTCGTAGGTATTAAACACAAAGACGACTAATCACAATACACAAAGTATTTTTAAGTGATCCGGAATGATAATCTACTCATTTCACTTGTATAATGGCAGGATGCTATTTTTAGAATACAATTACTATGAATTTTATATTTAGATATAAGAAGATGTGGTATGAGTGCCAATGAGACAACTCTCCATCCAAGTCACAATTTGTAAAAGTAAACCATTAAAGGTCAAAGTACGGCCTTCAACACGGAGCCTTGGCTCACACTGAACAGCAAGATATAAAGGGCCCCAAAAATGACTAGTGTAAAACCATTCAAACAGGAAAACCAACGGTCTAATCTATATAAAAAACGAGAAACGAGAAACACTTATGAACCACATTAACAAACGACAACCACTGAACATCAGGTTCCTGACTTAGGACAGGTGCAAACAAATGCAGCGGGTTTAAACGTTTTAATGTGCGCCAACCTTCACCCTACCTGAAACAATAGTGTAACATCACAACATAGAAAGACACACTATAAAATATCAATTGAATATCTTAACTCAATCAAAAGACATATCAACAAAAACAACTGATCGAATAGATTTGATCTATGACACAATGTAAATACAAAATTAATAAAACAAGGGGGCTAGATGTGACACAATATCAGAAAGACAACCATAACCTTGGACAAAATGCCGCCAAATAAAATAACGTACACAGGTAAATAAACATAATGTTGTTGTAAGGTATAAATGGAGTACGGAAATAATTTTGTTGTTCATAGTACGAGAACAGAAGTGAAAATTTATCGTCATACTAAACACTTATCAAAGGTGGTATATATTAAAAATAGTGAGACGAGATATAACAATAAATAAGTAAACATTAAATAACAAAAATACATTACAAATTGTATCAACAGGTCAAATTAACACGAAAGTACGATTTGAGAGTACTCGCAGCTACTGAAAGCTAGTTAAAAGCCAAAATCAATTAATAATAAAAAATCATGCATGAGAGACTAAAATCAACTAAAACACATCCCAGGGATTTAGTGTTTTAATGTCATGGACAGTCAAAGAAGACATGACTTACATACATTAGATATCATTCTTTAGAGATTATAATTGTTTTAGTGAATGAGTCGTTTTGTTCCCGTAAAAGTTATCTTAGTCTTTGATACACAAAAACCTGCATATACACAATTAAAAGATAATAAATGCATTTTGGAAAAGAATTAAGGCAAATAAACTGGGAAAAATGGGGGTGGGGACTACGAAAACGCGCTTACCCAGATAATGCATGGTTTTTCAAAATATCAAAAAGATATCAGTAGAAAGTAAGTCAAATGCGGTGAAAATATAAGTGCATAGCATGCTATATTTGGCCAAACCGAAGCTCAGAAAACGCCGTACACCGTATAACCTTACCAGATAATTGAAACTTGGAATCTTATACAATATCAATAACCGTTGATTTGAACTTTCTTTCCTTGCAGTTCTTGCAATGATTTACACTATACACTGTAGTTTAAATAGAATTATATTGACGCTTTGATGCAAATTTCAAGTTATAACAAAGCGAATTAATTTACAACCCAAGTCTGTCTCAAATAAAAATTTTCAAAGATTTTCCGTGTTTCATGGAAAAGCTCACTTATCAGCAGTAAATCCGGGAAAGACGGATTTTGTAAAATTTCAAGGCAAAAAGGACGTGATTTGTGAGGAAATTTGCTTTTCGATATAGAAGAAGGCAACCGACGGACCACGTAAGTTTTCTGTGGGACCCTCCACAATTCTTTTTTCAAATATTTGAACCAGGTCCAACCTTACGTCCATCTTATTATATTCGTTTTTCTTGACACATACTGTATCACGTAGGTACGCTCATGGCCATCAGTTAGTAAATCTGAAAAGTTTATTACGCATTGTTGTCAAAATAACGGTAACTGAATGAAATATTGATATTATATTATTTACAAAATATAAACTTTTAATTAAATAGATAAATGAAAATTTAATGCATGGACATTTCTTGGCCTAGAAATATGTATAACTAATTCGGCTTTGGGAGTATCTGATGAGGGTAAATCCAGAAAAGCGTTTCGGACGCATGACATTTATGTGTTTTACATTTTAATAAAAAGATGACAGGATAATCAGTTACGTTATAGTAGTCGGAATAAAAATCTCAACAGGTTTTACAGAATACAACGTGTAGGGATTTTGTGTCATGAATATTAGTACACCATATTCCGTCTGTTTCACAATGTTTCTAAGAACCCAACACATAATTTTCAAACGAACGAAAAGGGATGTATACTTGCTTGAGATAGTAGCACTTTCTTAATTTAACTAAACCCGATTCTGAACCTGATATTTAGGTTGACACGAAAAGATATTTTTCATCCTAATGAATAGTTTGATATACTTTGAAAGTGAAACTACTAAATGGATGAAAAAATGCACAGCCTTAATGAGTTGACAGCCAATGTACATGGATTTCATTAATTTGTTTTACAGAAAGTAAAACTCCGACGAGTTCAGTAATCTGCATCTTCCTCTTGCGATTCAAGTTCTGGTTCAGAGGTCTCATCTATAGGACCAATTACGACGTTTCCTTTGGCGACGGACACATCCTCATACAAGATATTTATCGCCATCGCAGGTGGCAATAAATTATCAGTTTCAGTTTCGCTTCCGCTATTACCGGAAGTTTCATCGCTTCCAATCGGAACTGATGATTCCCTACTATTACTCTCAGTAGAAACTTCACTATTTTCATTACTTTCTTCGCTGCTAGAAGTAAATTGGTAAGAGTTATCATCTTGATCACATGAAATGTCAAAAGTTTTTGATCCCTCTGTCTTGTCCGCTGATTCTTCATTTGGGATGGATTTCTTTTTCTGAACAAAGGAGTAACCAAATTTGTGTCGAATCAGTTTATTGTCCTCTGTTGAATTTTCATTTTCGTTGTCATTTTCATCTGTCTTTTGTCCTATTTTAGCATTTACACAATTGTTAATGACTTGATATTCTCCCGTCTCCATTGCTGTTTGCAGTTTGTCGTTGCTTTGTTCCTTTTTGTTTTCCATCTTCTCTTTTGATTCTGGTTTCTTCTGTTTTAGGGCTTCTTTTTCTTGAGTTTTAGGTTTTTGGTTTTCTTTCTGTTGATTCTTTTGCTTTACTTTATCTTTTTCCGGATTCTTTTGCTTTTGCTTTTCTATTTCTGGTTTCTTTTGTTTTTGAGTTTCTTTTTCAAGCTTCTTTTGTTTTTGATTTTCTTTTTCTTTTTCTGGTTTCTTTTCTTTTTTATTGTCTGGCTTCTTTTGCTTTTCTTTTTCCGATGTCTTTTGTTTTTTATTTTCTTTATTGCTTGAATTGTTTGTTTCATCCATTGACCTGTGTTCTAGTTTCCCTTTATCGCCTTTGTCTGTCGTCAAGCTAGGATTTTCATTCTGCAATTTCACCTCTGACAAATGAGAATATGTTGGATCCATGACTTCATTCCTTGGCTTTAGGAAACTTGCATTGTCGTATTCGGTAACCTCCATATCGACTGTCACGTGGTTATACGGATTTGGATTTTCCGTATCATTCAACAACGACGATTTTATTCGGTTGTGGTCAACAAAATCGTACGATTCTCGATGATTATATCGCTTTTTAGATGTTGATGATTGAGAAAAGTCGTCGGTGCTTTTTTGATCCGTGTCAATATGGCAGTAAGCATAACTTTTCTGATCAGATTCGCACGATTCTTCATTAACATATTCGTTTCCGGGGGCCGATGCAAACACCTGGTCCTCCTTATCGACAAGCTCGGCATTTTCTGCATCATCATCTTTCCTATAATTAAGTAAATTCATTTACTTTTTATCTATGATTTGTCTATCTGTAAATTTATAATGTTTAGAAATCAAATTATATTTTTGTCGTTGAACTGTCGCCTCTCTGACGTATACACCACATTTCAATCTTTGATATTTAAAAGGTTTTGTTTGTTCTATTTCAGTGTTTTAGTTTTGATTCACCAGTCCAAACTTTTGAATATTTCGTCCCTGATGAAGTTTATTAAAGATACACACGTCCTACGCATTGAAATATGTATCTTATGTTTATGTTATGTATCTATGATGAGTTTAATTATTACTTTTAGCATACATCACACAAAAATATCGGAATATTTATTTTACAGAAAAAGTCTATGCAATATATGGATACTGGTATTTTTTGTTGAACTTTCTAAATGTGTATTATTTGAATGTAATTTAAAGCTTAGCATATGATGGGAGCACCATAAGAAGAATTGAATGATTAATTTTATAGCTTTTAACAGATTTTTTTGTTGAATTTATTCACAAAGAGGTAGAGCCAATTTCCCCTGAAATTTTTTCACAGAAGGGCCAATTTCAAAAAGTGCTGAAAGAATAAAATTTACGATAAAAACATGGAAAAAAAATGTTTTTTGGTCAATATCTCGATTTTTATGTATTATGTTATGACTGGAAAATATTTAATTTAACCTCCAAAAAAGGATGAAAGTCAAATATGCGGAATTTACCGTGTTTTTAGGTTGGAAAAATAGGGAATCCCCCTAGAAGGACACTTCAACACAAAACAAAGTTATGTTTTTACATCGCGATGACCGTGAGGTCATCCCGATGTATTGCTATCGCCTAGATTTCCATTATGTAAATTAGTTTTGGGTTTGTAACTAATTTATAAACATGATGAATATGCGCACATAAACGAGTGCAAAATAACATTCCTTATCGTTTGATATAAATACATCTCTTCAATGAATACTGATAAAAATATTTTTGTTTACAACATAAATTAATAATATGAAAATGTTTTGTAGTTAGATATATATATATAAGTAAAAAATCATTGATAATATCAATGCACACGTACCGAAAAATTGTGTTAAAGCATGCGGAAGAATATCTCAAAGAACGTTTTGCGACAATACCGGCAAGGACCGGTAACTCTGTAAATGTTTTTGCGGGAAAATATGAATGCCTACTCGTATCCAATCTTAGAAAAATCGAATTTTTACAGAAAAGTGTCCACCTTGCACTTGCATTGCACTATTATTAGAATAGTAGAATAGAATGATATACAAATGGATGCAAATCATATATATATGTAACTGTTATTTCAATATAATATATAACAACAAATCAGTGTATATACTGATTTGTATCACTACAATATAATAGTTATTACGGTGAAGTTGAATTTCCTGTCATTTATTCATCATCCACGCACGAACTTGTCTCAGAAAAAAATATATCTCTGTGCATTAACCTCAGTTTCAGGTAAAGAGATATGTTGTTTTTTTCTGAGACAAGTGCTTTTGACCATCCTCAAGAACTTGTGGTCATCCGATGTTCAGTACTTCAGTACTTTGATTTGTTGTTGTTGTAATTTATACAACTTTTCCCCTCAAAAATGAAATTGGTTTAGTGTGTCCTTAATACCTAAATAACAACTTTTTTAATAAAAAGTGGAACATCACTAAATTTTACCTATATAGCTGCTTTATATCGACTATGTATTCAAGAGTCGCCGTGGCTCCATCGGTAGCGCTTAAAACTGTAAATAATGGATTGTTTTTAAGATGGGGTTCAAATCTCACACTAATTTTTCTGATTTTTTATGTTGAAATATTAAAATGTTATGTTTCTATCACATTTTTTCGGATGTTTGTTTAATTCAAAGAGTCACACTGAAGTAGGTGCTTGTACATAACCAATAACACGAGAATGGATTATATAGCAATTTAGAATATAGCAAAATGCTCTCGACCAATGAAATTGTAGGATTTGTGGTTTCCTAATTGTGAAGAATGAATGAAATCATGTTCTTAGTAAGGGATTATCCTATTGTTTAGGCCTACTTACAGTTCAAAACAAAGAGTTCTATAAATGAGTTACAAATGCCCCGAAACACATTTATCAGCTTGAGAGAATAGTGATTAAAATTGACTAAAAGTTGAATTTTGAAACAAAAAACAAAAAAATGAAAATCAGATGAAGTTTACTGGTGCAGTAGCATTGGTTACTGGATCCGCGGTTGGTGAGAATAGTAATTTCCAATATTCTGATCAAATTCTAAAAAAAGCAATTTAGTTTAACTTTTGAATATATTTTAAACTATTTTAAAGGCATTGTATTTGAACATTTCCCTGACATAATGAAGTAGTATTTGATGTAAAGGACTGGACTAAAATATTGGCTGTAAAATGAAATTTATTTGTAACTCAAATTTTGAATTAATTGATTTGAAATGGAAATAAACAAAAAGATAATCCCTCGCTAAAATATTACATGATTTACAATCATACTCACAATCAGGAAACATTTCTTACCATTTCATTGTACTGTTGTGTCATCTAATGTATAAAACATAATTTATTATACTTTCCAAATTATAAGAAGGTCCTTACATCACTAAAACTAATCCATAAATGAAATCATGCCTAAAAAGGAAGTCATGCATTAATTACAAACATTGCACTGACAATGAAACTAATTCTTAAATACAACCAATCAAGAGATCATTTAAGCCTTGAGCACTTTACAATATTCTAAGTTTGTAAGAGAATGATAATCCCTTACTTCATGATAAGTACTCGCTAACGCTCGTACTTAATCATGAAGAAAGGGATTATCATTCTCTTACATATACGAAGCCCAAATGTTATGTGTGTTATACACATAACGAAAAAAGGCCATAGCAGAAAAATTTCAAAACAACAAATTTTTTTTTCTAAATCTTGAACAAGAACGTTTTAGAAAATGGTATGATATGTAACAAATGCAGACAGTAATTTTATCGCCAATCCACCAACTGTGTAGATACTAGTACTGGCATTGTTACATTGTCCCTACACCGGAACCTTAGTCATCAAAAAATGAAAAAACACCTCAGAAAAAATCAATTACACTACCAATCGTGACTGTAGGTAAAACATCAAGAAAGTGTTGAATCTGTATCACAACATAGGGTCGATCCATTTGGTACAATGCCATGCAGAAAAGACCAGATTGCATGTGTTTGTTACGCATGCCGTTCTAGTACCAACTGGTGTAAGCTGTTGTCTGGTTCATATAGACGGTAAACCTTAAAAGCTGGAACAGTGTATAGATATAGATACATCCAGATTGAGGAAAACAACATCCCAGTTAAATGCGTCCGATATTTTTTGGCTTCTTGGCATTAAAACAGAGACCGATCTTGAATCAGATTAGCTGATTTATATCAGATAATTAGATTATTAAATGTTTCTTGTATTTATATATAACCCCCTTTTTTAGGCGCCACTTAGGGGCATTCAGTTTTTCGGTCTGTGCGTCCGTTCGTTCGTTTGTCCGTCCGTCCGTCCGTCCGTCCGTCCGTCCGTCCCTTCGTTCGTCCGTCTGTTCGTTCGTCCGTTTGTCCCGTTTCAGGTTAAAGAGTTTTTGATGAAGTGGAAGTCCAACCAACTTGAAACTTAGTACACATGATCCCTATGATATGATCTTTCTCATTTTAATGCTAAATTACAGTTTTTATACCAATTTCATGGTTCACTGAACATAGAAAATGATAGTACGAGTGGGACATCCGTGTAGTATGGACACATTCTTGTTTAATATTTTGTTAGTTTAAAGTTAAACAAAGCTGTGAAATACATGTACGCTACAAATCACCTACCAACATTAACACGCTAACTGAAGCACCATGGTTTTTTTAAATACAAAACTAATTTTGAATATCTATTAGTTGATAATTCATATTTTAATGCTCCTCAGGGGCATTTACAAACAAAATCAATAATGGTTTTGATAAACAAACAAAAAAACAATAGTCTTGGCCTTGATTATTGTAGGAATACCTGTTCAAGGTATGAAAATAGATAATGTGACGTGTTGTCATATACTATAATTAGTATCTATCGGGCTATTTAAAAACATGATTTACCTAGCTAATCAAATGAAAAAAACTCACGGGAAAATGGCCCTACCTGTTTATGGAATCGAAACGATTTATAGCTTGTCAGTTTGTATAGGCACTTATCTAATGTTGAAGAATATACGTTGGCCTCTAGATGTTGTCTGGTTATTTTTGCTTTTGGGTTGATATCTCATTGAAGCACATTTAGTGTGAAGCACAGCTCAGAGCGCTAAAAGAAGTGGCACTCGGTGAACGTCTTTACCACCCCAAAATTAACTAAAGGAATCTTTCATTTTTATTAATATGTTACTACTAAAACAAAGAAATTACGAGTGAAATAAACATTTTCTTTTTGTTTTAAATATTCCTACGTATTGTTTTCATAGGGAGCGCGTGAGGTCATGGATCTTGCGTTTTATTTGGACATAAAACATACCTTTAAAGCAAAATTGTTTATTAAATGACATATATCACATACCTTTGTGGCGTCTTGCATTTTGAGACAAAGCAGCCAATGGAAAAAATCAAAGAGGCTGTCATAAAACCAGCCGAGAAGTACATTACAATTGCTGAAATTGAAATGAAGTAATTTATAACTATTTGATAAAAGTATTTATATGTATGTGTGCGAAGATACTTTAACGTGTACAAATGGATATTCATCTAACGGTAAGCAAAACGTGTAGGCCTATGCAAATGATTATTAAAACAAATGAGTTATCAGTCCAGTTCTTCACTTATTACACTTATAGTGTCTTGTAAGAGGGACTGGTTGTTTGTTATCTGTTTTATAGTGGCAAATAGGTCATGCAAATTCAGAACGCGACGCTCACAATACAGAATAAAGCAGATTCAAGGATTTTTCATTGTAAAGAGTCACCTTTGAACTATTGAAATAATAGCATGCTAGTTGGTTATACTCACGATTCTCAATGAATTTTTTAAAATCCTCCAAAACACCCTCTAAAAGATAGTTGAAATAATATACTGTATGGTGAAAATGGAAAATTAAAAAAAAAATAGGAAAAATCAAAAAATATATAGAATTTTATGATTATCTGAAAGATTTCAAAACACCCAATCAGATTTTAATTCAACCCAAAGTGTTCAAATCCTGGAGTTCTATGTTCGTTTAAGAACAGGGGCTTGTGAATTGAAACACGACTTCATCCTATTATTGAACATAATTTGCATTTCATAGACGCCGAATTGCGATTTGGAAATATAAGGGAAAGTCGGACATAACATACGATTATACTTTGATACACCATTTAAAACTTTTCCCAAAATATATTGTACTAGTTGAATGCCATCTATAAACAAGCACGAAAATGAATAGTAGAATAATATTTCAATCTTGTATTTAAAATTCTTATCACCTGATCGGTTATGATTTATTTGGGAATAATTATAAACTGTAAATATTAATACAGACTTACTTCCTTTATGGAAACCAGTAGAATTTTCAATTGTGGTTGTAGAAACTGCAATACACATCTCTTTACCTGAAATTGAGGTTAATGTACAGAGATCTATTTTTTCTGAGACAAGTTCGTGCGTTGATGATGAATAAATGACAGGAAATTCAACCTCACCGTAATAACTATTATATTGTAGTGATACAAATCAGTATACACTGGTTTGTTGTTAAATATTATATTAATATAACAGTTACATATATATATAATTTTCATCCATTTGTATATCATTCTATTATACTATTCTAATAATAGTGTAATGCAAGTGCATGGTGGACACTCTTCTGTAAAAATTCGATTTTTCTAAAAGATTGGATATGAGTAGGCATTCATATTTTCCCGCAAAAACAATTACAGAGTTACCGGTCCTTGCCGGGATTGTCGCAAAACGTTCTTGAGATATTCTTCCGCATGCTTTAACACAATTTTTCGGTACATGTGCATAGATATTATCAATGATTTTTTACTTATATATATATGTATATCTAACGACAAAACATTTTCATATTATTAATGTATGTTCTAAACAAAAATATTTTTATCAGTATTCATTGAAGTGATGTATTTATAACAAACGATAAGGAATGTTAGTTTGCACTCGTTAAAATCCGCGTATTTATCATGTTTATAGATCGGTTACAAACCCAAAACGAAAGTTACGTAATGGAAATCTAGGCGATAGCAATACATCGGAATGACCTCACGGTCATCGCGATGTAAAAACGACTAAAACTTTTTACAACAGAAATTAAAATCCAGTATTTTGGCGTCTTAATAAATGCAACGTAAACTATTGCTTATTCCTTTTCATCAAAAAAACAGTCAAATGTGTATATGCTCAAAATAAAGCACCTTATTTCGACATGTTTTACAACTTTGTTCGATATTTTGCCTCGAACTTTTGTCATCTTATCAATCAAATTTGCAAAATTGTGTCATAAATACGTATTAAAAGATGTAATTTGTCTGGAACAACATTACCTGGGTTTCAGCTATATCAAATATACGATGTATTCACATCAACCGACTTGGAGACGTAATTTGTTTTCGGATTAAAACATGTTCTTAGCATAGGTTATATAAAAATCGTAACGGCGCGGGACGTTTGCGCTTTTTCATAGGACATTTGCTCTTCAATTTATAGGACATTTGCGCTTTTACAGTATTGGCTTCTTATGACTTCCCTCCTAATTTATCAGGACTTAGAACCGGTAGGTTTGACCTGGCAGAGTTAAAGTCATAATTTTTATTATGGTTAAAAGTTTAATAGTCATTTCATAGCACATTCGTGTTTAAAGGTCATTTCATAGCACATTGATAAAGTTGTATATAGCTAAAAGTAAACATTCTAAAGATCTAAAGACGCGTATAGTCACCACAGGTCAGTTTTCGCATGATATCTGAAGCTCAGGGAATGAACAAATTTAGCTCTAGTAATCTATCCTGACTGCTATTTTGCCCACATTTCAAATACATATTCTATCTCTCTTTCTCAACTCATGACTGAGAGCCCTGTTTATTTATATAAAGAATTTTAATGTAATTAACCGACTGTTGCACAATGATAAAACTCCATCGTGACATATACATTTTTTCCTTTACTAGTCTATTACTTTAAACTCTATGTTTAAGACTGCGTCAATGTGAATTAACCAACGTTAGAATATAGCAAAGTGCTCTCGACCAATGAAAGTGTAGAATTTGGTGTTCCTTAATTGTGAAGAATTATAGGTTAGATAATACTTGATCATGTTTTATGAATATTTAAAGCCCAAGGCGTAGCCGAGGGGTTTAAATGTTCATAAAACATGACCAAGTATTGTCTTACCAATTTAGAACATTTTCACACCTTCGAGTGATATAACACAATTAGCCTCTCATTGTAATATTCAAACTTTGATATTAGCTCACCTCAAGTTCAAACATGATTAGTAAAAGGGTTAAAATCATATTTAATGGTCATTTCAACAGATGGGATGAAATAGCAATGAGATAGTTTTGTGATAACAAAAAAAGGATAAATTTTTCAAAAATGGAGATTTTCAGGTACAATTAAATCTAATATACATATATTTAAAGTTCTTTCATTCTAAAAAGCACACAATGTTATATAAATCAGCTTTTTCTAAAATTGTTTAATTTTTGATAATGACAAAAATTCATCAATAAATTTTAATTTACAATCATTTCAACATCAGATACTTGTTTTTTTTTTTACGATGGATTTTTTTTTTAAACTGCATTTCATTTTTTATTAGCAGTCATTGTTTCTTAAAACATTGATTGTAAGGTCTTGTATATAAATTAGATTTGATATTACATGTATTTTACCTACAACTTTGCCCCCTTTTCAATTCTTTTTTTTTTGGGAGGGGGGTCTTTATATGTATCATTAATAAATAATTAAATGCTTTTATAGTTCTATTTCCCTGATTTCATTTATGATAATTAGACAACCAATTAAAGTACTCATGATAATTTTTTCTTTTGCTCTTTTCCTTTTGAAATTGCCTCAGGGGATTATACACTTTGTAAGTGCAGTTTTCAAGAGTTCACTTTCATAACTAATCTACAATGAAAAGTCATTCATGTTTAGCATTTTTTAGAACATACTCACCCCTTCTCGTCCAATGAAAAGTCAGTTTTTTTCCTTCTAATTTTCATAGTACATGGCTTTCAATGCACTATAAAATGCTTTACATGAATGACTTTTCATTGTAGATTAATTGTGAAAGTGAACTCTTCATAACTTCAACAACGAAGTGTACAATCTCCTGAGGCATTTCCTTGGGAAAATAACCTACTGATTAAAGATGAAAGAGAAAAGAATTATAAAAAACATTTTGAACATTGCAAATCTTTATATTAATGGTACATATATATAACAAACAAAAAAGAAAATAAAATAGGGCCAAAGATGTATGTAAATTTTATATAATTTTTATACCAGACATTCGAGTCGATTATTTTTTTTCAAGAAAACAATGTCAGACTGCTGATATATAAAGCAAAGGATTTTTTGAGAGAAAAAACCCACAATACATGTACATTCATCAATAAAAAGTAAGCATCTGAAGTTGAATGGTCGTGATTCAAATATTTATAGAGTAAGTTTTATAATTATCAAAAAATATTCAAATTTCAGAAAGCGGATTGATATAACATTGTGTGCTAATTAAAATCAAGAAATTTAAGGTATATTAGTATTAAATTTTTACCTGATGTAGAAGAAAAACTCAAATGTTTGAACAATTTATCCTTTTTGTCTTCACAAACTATGTCAGTGCTACTTCATTCCATCCATTGTAATGGTCATTACCTGTTATATACATGTACTCACTTCATTATAAAAAGTGAATTCTTATTTAGTTTTGAATATTACAATGGGAAAGGATAATTTTGTAAGGTCACTCGAAAGTGTGAATATGTTCTAAATTGGTCAGACAATACTTGGTCATGTTTTATGAAGATTTAATGCCCTCGGCTACGCCTTGGGCTTTAAATCTTCATAAAACATGACCAAGTATTGTCTAACCTATAAATAGTGCACGGAAAGCCATGTACTATGTAAAGGTTAGACATTCCATGCACTATTTATTGGTTAGACAATACTTGGTCATGTTTTATGAAGATTTAAAGCCCAAGGCGTAGCTGAGGTTTTTAAATGTTCATAAAACATGACCAAGTATTGTCTGACCAATTTAGAACATATTCACACTTTCGAGTGACCTTACAAAATTTTCATTTCCCATTGTAATATTCAAACCTTAATAAGAATTTACTTTTTATAATGAAGTGTTAACTAGGTTAATAAAACGAATTTATAACATAGGTAATGATCATTTCAATGGATGGAATGAAATAGCACTGACATAGTTTTGTGAGGACAAAAAGGATAAATTGTTCAAACATTGAGTTTTTCTTCTGCTTCAGGTAAAATTTAATACTTATATACCTTAAATTTCTTGATTTTAAAAAGCGCACAATATTATATAAATCAGCTTTTTGAAATTTGTATATTTTTTGATAATTATAAAACTCACTCTATAAATATTTGAATCACGACCATTCAACATCAGATGCTTACTTTTTATTGATGAATGTATACATGTATTGTGTTGTTTTTTTTCGAAAAAAATCCTTTGCTTTACATATCAGCAGTCTGACATTGTTTTCTTGAAAGAAAAAAAAATAATAATTGACTCTAATGACTGCTATCAAAATTGAATAAAAGATTATTTTACCTACATCTTTGCCCCCATTTAATTTTTTGTTTGTAATATATATGTACCATGGTAAACATTTGCAAAATTCAAAATGTTTTTTTATAATTCTATTCTCTTTCATCTTTAATCAGTAGGCTATTTTCCCAAGGAAAATGCCTCAGGGGATTGTACACTTCGTTAGTGTAGTTATTAAGAGTTCACTTTCATAATTAATCTACAATGAAAAGTCATTCATGTAAAGCATTTTATAGTGCATGGAAAGCCATGTACTATGAAAATTAGAAGGGAAAAAACTGACTTTTCATTGGACGAGAAGGGGTGAGTATGTTCTAAGAATAATAGAAGGGAAAATACTGATTTTCCATTGGACGAGAATGGGTGAGTATGTTCTAATGAATGTAAATCATGTTCTTAGTAAGGAATTATCCTTTTGTTCAGGCTTATTTACAGTTCATAACAAAGAATTTCTATAAATGAGTTACAACTGCCTGAAGCACATTTATTAGGATTATTGATTGAAAGTTGAATTTTGAAACAAACAAAAATGATTAAAATAAGTTTGAAGTTTACATGTGCAGTACAATTGATACCGTTTGTGTTATTATGTGAATATTTAGAACTTTCAAATGACAAAAAAATAAGCAATATCAAGAAGAAAAAGAAAAGCTTTTAAAATTAAATAAAATCTTAATCTTTAGCTACATGTATTACGCTTATCAAAACTCAGATTACTGTATTCGCAGTTAGTAAGAATAGTTATTTCCAAAATACCGATACATACAGGAAATTGAATTTACTTTTGAATTTCCTATAAAAAGCAATTTCTTTCAACATTTAAATTTTAGTTAATTAAGTAGTATTTAATGTAAAGAGCTGGAATAAAATTGGCTGTGGAATACAATTTAGTTGTAACTCTGATTTTGAATTTATTGAATTGAACTGTAAATAAACAAAAAGATAATTCCTCACTAGAATATTACATAATTTACACTCATACTCACAATTAGGAAACTTATACAATTTCTACAATTTCATTGTAACGTTGTGTCATCTAATGTCTAAAACACAATTTATTAAAATTTCCCAAATTAAAAGTAAGTCCTTACATCACTAAGACCAATACTAGTACATAAATGAAATGCCTAAAAGGGAAGTCATACATTAATTATAGACATTGCACTGACAATGAAACAAATTCTTGAATAAAACCAATCAAGAGATCATTTGAGCATTGAGCACTTTACAATATTCTAAGTTTGTAAGAGAATGATAATCCCTTTCATCATATTAAGTACTCGCTAACGCTCGTACTTAATCACGAAGACAGGGATTATCATTCTCTTACATATAAACAAATATAAGTTGAATTTATTTACGTAATGATTACAAATTCATTAAAATTACAGGTAGACGACTATAGGTAAAAAGCGCAAATGTCCAGTCAATTTAATACAGGTGTATCAAAATTTAAAGTGTTTGGAAATGTCCTATCCTGTTAAAGGTAAAAAAGCGCAAACGTTCTGTGCACAATCGTAAGGTCTCCATCCTCTAACAATATGCACTAGAGAGTTTTCGAAACCACACCAAAATGATTTTTTTAGGATAAGACTTGTACTTTGCCGCTTTATAAACTTTTTTTTAAATAAGGTAAATAATCGTCCATCAAAGATGGATCTTACTTCTTCAAGTTGTCATGATTTTCCTTCCAACTGACAATACGGACTCACATTTGAACTGGCACTCGACATATTGATTTTTATTGCCTGAGGCTGTATACATGGTCCTAGTAAGTTTTTTTCGAACAATGAAATTTTATAGTAAGCTTTATTACTTACTCTAGCATTATCTGAAATAATAATAGGTCTCTAATTTTCTGTTTTAATTTAAATTCAGAGTAATTTTTTGGGAGAATAAACAAACATAAATACGTCTAAAAGAAAAAGACTAAGCAGTCAAAACAATTATACAAATGAGAACGACATTTGTTTTGGCGGATAAAATAACGATTTTTTTCTTCAAATTGATAGAATGGCACAATAAGTAGATACACTAACTTAAAAATGTCGTTTCGATAAAGGAAATTACTTGATGTATGTAACTGTAATCACATGGTATTAAATATTGATACTCCTTTCTGTAGAGACCAGAGTAGAAGAAAATAAGTTGAAATATATTTGTACTTACAGCATGAAATCTGTAAAATTATAAACCACCATCGAAAACTGGACAGCGTCGTCATCTTTCGTATAACTGACATGTAATACGGAAATATTTAGACAAAACTTAATGTGAATTAACACTAATTTCTAATAAGAGTGGATGTTTCCTGGTATTGCAAATTACTGACACCAGACTGAACGAATAATAATAATTTCCTTGTAAACCATTATTGTTCAGTTTATTGCGTACTACGAAATTATTATTTTAGTTCTCAAATAATGCATACACATTTGATATTTACCAATGGTAGATTTTATTACCATCTATGAAACTTGAATTTCCTATAGAAAAGTTATGAAAAACTGAGCAGAACAGATTTTTTTACATTTTATAGTAAACTCGTCATAGATACCAGGCTTAAAATTATGGACGCCAGCAGACGCGCGTTTCGTTTACAAAAGACCCATCAGTTACGCTCGAATAAAAAACAAATGAAAAGGCCAAATGAAGTACGAAGTTGAAAAGCATCGAAAACCCAAAATTATGAAAGGTTTAGCCAAATAAAGCTGAGGTAATCTATTCAAAGAAAATCTTCAAAGTTTTGTAAACAGTTAATTCATAATTATAAAATTCATGTCAATACAGAAGTGCTGACTATTGGGATGGTGATACCCATGGTGAGGAAACCTCGACCAGCAGTGGCATCGACCCATTTATAATATGTAACTAAAAACCTTATTATAATAAGTCGATATTTACAAATAAAACATTGATCGCCATTTAGGTTTACACAAATATAGTAATTGTTGATATTCATAATTCTATTATAAACAAAATCAGAAAATGTCATGTCATTGTTAAATTCCGTCCACCAGTTTTAGTTACATCATCAAAGAAATGCCAGTGATGCAACCAATAGAGACGTTGTTTATGGTAATTTTTATGTGCTGCAATATATACGCACGCAACCATAATTTTTTTGTTTATATGGAGATGAATTTTCATATTGCGTAGTCATTACACGGATCCCTTCGCGCACTTGATAAAACTTTAATTAATAGAAACACGGTGTATTGTTGTTTCTAATTCTTGGGCTCGCCATGACGCCTTAATTACAGACCAAAATATTAAACATGATTAAGAAGGCTTTCAACTGGTCTGGGGATTATATATATATAATTTATTTGTATGAGCTTTAGAAACAGGACGAAAAGCGAGGCTCGCCGAGCTTTTCTACTCTTTCGTAGCGAGTACAAATAAATTTTATATTTTCCGACAATGTACATATATTGTTTTTATCCTGAAACTTACACCCAACACTTGAAACTTTAGTTGTTAAAATCTAAATCATTGTCTCTAATTTTTCAAAGAAATCGACATAGTTTAACGCGCCAAAATGAACTGTTACGCAAAAAGAAATATCCACATTACCGCTTGCTCAACATGGAAGCTGGGTAACAGGAGACATTATTTGTACAAGTACAAATAAAGCAAAAATTTATTTGTGTACCAGTTATTTGTACAATAGTTGGCTGATTGCAGGATAAAACAAACTAGGGTGTGCCAAGTGCAATAACTATCCATATATAAACGATATACTTTCCAATATTATATCGCCCGCAATATCATTCCTGTCATATCTTTAATTTTAGATTTGTATACCTCTGCCAATTAATATTATTGTCACAATTTTTAGTATTTATTTAGGGTTTCCGTCAGAAGACACAATTTGAACTTTTGCACGATATACCTCACTGCTGACCCGGCGCTAGTATTACCGTCAATTGTAATTTTAACTTATATTTTAAGAGTTCTGCTCATCTTCGAAAAAATATGCATTTAGGAGACTCTATTTAATTTAATCACAACTAAGACTTCCTATGGGTACCAATTGCGAACCTTTGATAGTAGACTTGTTTCTGTGTTGTTATGAATCAGTTTGTGGCCAAACCCAGTAAAGAGCTGTCTAAATTCCTAAACATTTACCGTTAACTTGATGATATGTTTTCGTTAAATAATCAAGATTTTTTTAATTTTTAAATATACTGCCGAAATTCCAAAGGAACATACTTTAAATAAACCAATTTGAAAGATAAACAGGAATAGCTGTCGTTTCCGATATTTAGATATTTACAAGGATAACTCTACAAAAATTTACGACAAAAGGGATGATTCTTCGTTCCCTATTGTTAATTTTCCCTTTTTTATGGTGATGCTCCTTTGGCCCCATGTTATACGGTTTTCTATATATACCAACTCCCTTGCTATGCCTGTTTCTACGGTGATGTTTTGGATTTCATGAACGTAATCTATGTATTACTGGTAAATTGTTAAGTCAGGGATTTCGTTACCGCAAATTACGTAAAACCTTTACTAAATTCTTTCATAGATACAAAGACTTGATTTGGAAGTTTTGATGTGCCTGTAGAAAACTTAAAAAATGGGATAGCACATCCTAATTTATACGATGATGTTATTCATCGAGCCCGTAAATATAGATACGATTCGGGTAAACTTATCGATCCTTTGAATAAAATTATTCTAAAAGGTTACCAATTAAACATTTTGAATATTGTTTTTTTTTCTCACTTGATTTTGTTATCAATAAATTAAAACTTAACTAAATAGTATTGACAAATATAAACATTCTCGGTCCTACATTCTGTCGATACTTTGGCATTGCACAAGATCATGTTATTGTGGAAGAAACACTTTTTTACAGAGGATGACCTTGAGGTCACTCCGATGTATTGCTATCGCCTAAATTTCCATTATGCAAATTAGTTTTGGGATTTCAACCGATCTATAAAAATTATAGATCCGCGGTCATTACAAGGGAAAAAAGTGCATTTTTATACCTGCGATTCCGTTCTCCGTTCGTACGATGTTTCATAAAAAAATGGAATCATTTCAGTTGTTGATTTAGTACTGAAAATTTGACTGAATTATCTCCTTATTAAATACGGTTTTATATGTTTAATAGGTGTTTAAGAAAGAGGTCAGGTGCTCATGTTCATTCATAAAATTATCGTTCATTCATGAATTTATCGTAAAATCAAAATCACTACACAGGTCACACAGGTTGTATACGTAGTGTCAAAAGATTACCTGTATAGTATCTAAAAATAGACAAACTTAACTGACTCCCCTTACTGTAGTGTGTGATAACATTTTGTGAGGGAATTCGATGTTTGCTATACCACTGTTCATTTCAACGCACTTTATGACGATACCACTTTATCAATATGAATGAATTTTTTTGCAGTGTTTTAAGAAATAATTTTACTTTAAAATCGCGTATCATTTGTGAACTATTAAATGTTTTACAAGGACGAATTTTCTGTATAAAGTCAATAATTGTGTGAACTTTTGAAGCCCAAACTTTTTATAGCCTTAAATACGCTAATGAAAGATCCGAAAACTATACCCATACAGAACGACATGTTTTTGAAATTGTAGCAAAACTTTTGGTTGACAAATTTTAATTCGTTATTGCATAAATATTAACTTGAAATATCTGTCATTTTCTCCCTACCCAGTTTACCTATATTACTCATTATGATGTGGACTTGACATTGTTATTGAATCTTATGCAATTTGATTGGATTTTAAGTTATTATTAGATTACCTTCAAACTGTTCATGCTTTTTCGTACGAGTATATTGATTAAATCAGAGCGTGCATGAATGTGTACAGAAAATTAAATGACCTGCAAACTGGACACTGGACCAGTCCATATTACGTTTTATCAATGAATAGATTTTTTTTTTATTTCCCAAATTACAGGGCCCATAAAGGGCATAAAATCAGATACAATTGATTTACATAATTGGTAACAACAACAATAATAGCGGCATATAAATAGATATTTAGTATATAAGCATTGGTCAGAATCAGATGAACGAAACTTAAGGTATGAAAGGTAACAATTGCCACTTTTTATCTTTTCACATAATTTTCCACATACACATTAGATAAATTATTTTTGATAGCCTATTGCGGAGAATAAAGAGAAAGTTTACTGTATTAACGTTCTATTCCATTAAATACGCCATTTTTCGAAGATAAATGCAGAAAAACATTTATAAACGGCTACGCCAGGTAAAATTGTTGTTTATCCTAAAAAAAAATACAATTTTCAGTTTCATTAGAATATTATAATAATAATAAATCCCAAATTTATGTAGTCATTAGATAAAGTCCTTATATGTCCGATCTGCCTATTTTTGGACATCAAAAGACAATACGATTGTTTTAAGGTCAATTTCGTCTACCTCACGCAATCTTGTTAGGCACTATAATGAAATGGACCTGAAATATATTTCACATGTTTCCTGAAAATTGATAAATATCAAAGCAACATAGAGCTGTTTGTTCTAGTTCGTATAATGACAATTTAATGTCATGTTTGTTTGTGATGACCCCCCTTTTCGGGATTGCATCAGAATTATAGTTATCTCGTATCGCATGAGAATGACACATGTCAACTGAGCAATTATGTTTGGGACTTAGTTTTAAGGAATGATGTCAAAGTAACATTATGAAAATATTTTTAGTTAACTGAAATATATATTTATTTTTTACATGTTTATGTCTTGTAAGATATTTTATTTCTGTCCCGTTTTTCAACATTTGCGTCTGGAAAGTTGAAATGTTTTAACTGAATGGTTAATTTAAATTAATTATGAAAATGGTTAAAATTAAATCAATAAAGGAAATTATTGCCCAGTAACAAACACTACCAGGGGATAATCCATAATGATTTTTTTTTCAGTTATATGTTTCAGCACATGTATAATTAACCCCAACTTTAACCTGGTAAACTTGTTGTCTCCTTGTAAAATATAAAACATATTTAAAATGATTTCCTGCTAAAGTCTTATATTGATATAAAGTTAAAACCGTCTTGCTTCTCACTAGTCAACACTCCTGTCCTGTCAGGTTTAATTCTTATATATATGGATGAAAAATAAAAGTCCACAAAACATTAACATGGCAGCAATTGCTTTTACAGCCTTTAAGACTTTGATTTTTTTTTACAGAAGAGTGTCCACCATGCACTTGCATTACACTATAATAATAGTAGAATAGTATGATATACATATAGATGAAAATTATATATACATGCAACCGTAATATTAATATAATATATAACAACAAACCAGTGTATTCTCTGGAACTATTATTATATTAGTATAATAGTCTAATGTATACTGATTTGTATCACTACAATATAATAGTTATTACGGTGAGGTTGAATTTCCTGTCATTTATTCATCATCCAAGCACGAACTTGTATAAGAAAAAAAAATTTCTGTAAATTAACCTCAGTTTCAGGTATAGAGATGTGATCTGTTTCTGTGACATGTGCTTTTGACCATCCACAAGAACCTGCGGTCATCCGATGTTCAGTACTTCAGTACTTTGATTATGACTGTTAATGACGTCTTTACACTAAATCCATTGGATGTTGGATGTGTACTGATTGATATTTTAGTCTTAAGGCTCATCATAACCTTTTAGCAAATATGGCCGCATTTACACCAACAATTTCACTCTGAGTACAGACAAACCTGTGCACCTGGAAAAGTTTTAGAGCATGGTTGGACCTAGATATATAAAATTTAAATTCATTTCAAGTTTCAGACTAAAAACTTATCTGGATTTTGCTTTTAGGAGGTGCCTAAATAAACTAAGTTGGGAAAGATGTTTGAGAAGCACCCCTCATATAATAAATGTTGTGAGTTGTATTGAGTTAAATGGACAATAGATGGACAATAGACATCTGCAAACAATAGGTGATTTTTATTGTGTAACTGAGTGGACCGTATCAAAAGAAACTCCGATGTTTGTTTATTTTGCTAACTTCTGCAGACTGAAAAAAGTGCACATTAAAATCCAGGTAAGTTTTTAATTTTCAGGAACATAAACTACATAAAACTTGTATATGTCTAGGTCAAGCCATGCCTTAAAAATTTCCTAGATACATCGGTTTGTCTGTAATCTGAGTAGACTTTGTGGTGTAAACACGGCCATAGTTTTCAATTCCTTGTGATGAATCTTTAGGTTCATCAGAAGGAATTGAAAAATATGACCGTGTTAAGGTTCATCAAAAGGAATTGAAACATATGGCCGTGTTAACACCACAAATTTTACTTAGAGTACAGATAAACCTGTGTACCTGGAAAAGTGGTGTAAATACTACCATATTAGCCAAAAGGTTATGATTAACCTAAAACACATAATTTTATTTATTAGTTATTGTCTTTGAACAGATTTCAGTAACTGCGAGTACTCTCAAATCTGTTGTTTTTGTCTTTAGTGTCTTGTCAGTTGTTTTCGTGCTTTGTATCGATCTGATGAGTGAACTGATTTTTGTAGTAAGTTCTTATGTTGTGCCGTAACACCACTGTCCCAGGTTAGGGGAGGGTTGGGCGCCCGCCTTCATGTTAAACTTTTCACATTGTGTGGCAAAAGACGAAAAAAAAAATAAATAACGGTCCACAAAACACTACATAGAAACTTAAGCCGTAGCAACAAGAATTCAACAAAGAAACCGGAGTAATTTCAAGTTCTCTCCAGAAGTGCTGCTTCACTTGTGGCATTCGTCGTTTTGCACATTGCAAGAAAAAATTAGGAGATTTCACAATCGAGGAAAAGAAGAAAGGATTGTGGTTACGACAATTGTTATCAGTGACACATAAACATATTTTCTATGACGGCCAACCAAATAATGATGGCGCCCGTAAAACTTTCGACTTCAACTGAATTAAAAGGAACCCTTGTCTCTTGTTGAAGAGTGTGCATGGTGATTTCAAGATGTCTTCTCTGGGTTTTTTTTTTTTTTTTTTTTTTGGTGTATTGATTTGTTGTTTTGTTAACTCATTGGTATAAATCTTATGCTTTGAAAGGCTTGTGTATAGTTTGAAATGATATGAACTTTGCCAGAAAAATGGTCTATATAGTTTAACTTCGTTTTCCAAACAAAAACACAACAAAAACAAAGACCACTATGAAAGTTTTAAAGGTTCCTTTATTGTGACTATTTACAGCAACGATAGATTTTAAAGTGAAGGATCCCATAAAATAATAATATACTATAATTTTATTGTCATATAAATCATTTAAAAAAGATTTGTGACAGTAACATACAAAAATATAACATATAAACACTATATGAATGAAAACATACACAAAAATACAAAAAAAATCAATAGAAAACATATCCCATAAAAAATATACAAGTAAAAAGCAAAACAATATATTTATATATTTATATGAATAAATCAAGAGTCCCCTGTCCTCAGTTCTAATTCCGTTTTAAAAAAGGACCATAAGCCTTCTACTTCTTTTGAGGTTGATGGGCAAAGAAGATATTTAACTTTCTCATTTTCTTGTCAGGACATAAAATCTGGCATATGTTTAACTACATTTCCTAAAACGTTATCTCTTAAGTTTAGAATTTTTTTTACAGTATAAAATAAAATGATCTTCATCCTCCAATGTATTACAGGATGGGCAACGTCTTTTTTTCTCTCTGTGTTTTTAAATGTCTTCCTTTTTCTATCAATAAATTATGGACGCTAATTCTCATTTTTGTTATGTTACTTCTCTTTTCAAAAGACTTACAGTTTAAGTAATTTTCCATTTCTAACTTTGCAAATTTTTATATTAATATAATTTACTTTTTTGATCTATTTTTTCAAATTTTTGTTCAAATATGTTTTTGTAGAAATTTAAAAATTGGTGTTTTAAGGTTTTTTTTAACAACTTTGAGTAATTTTTTCCTTTGTTTCCCTCAAGAATGGATACTTCTATGTTTACCTCTTTCAAAATATTTTTAACATATGTAAACCAGGTATAGCAACCTGATTCATCCAAACTTTTAGAAAGTAAAAAGGATTCATATATAATTAAAAACCAATTGTTCAAAGAACAATTGAAGGTCTTTCCACATCAATTTTCTAAATAATTGATGAGAAGATAATTCTGGTTTACTCAAAGCGACTATTGGCGTCCAATCATAGGTTTCTTCATACTGATTCAATAAACATGGTTTCTATAGACTTTTGCCTGAAATAAGGGAGATAATTGTCAACATCCGGTTGAGAAAATGTCACTTCCAGTCTCATATGATAGCTTTATTTACACTGATTCCAAAAATATGTGGTTTATATATACTTTTGCCTGTAAACAGGGAGATAATTGACTACTTCCGGTTCCGGTCTCAAATGATAGATTAATGTATGACCATTCAAAAAATATATGGTTTCTATGTACTTCTACATGAAATAAGTGCGAAAATGACTACTTCCGGTTCACTCAAGGTCACTTCCGGTTGACATTTTTCAAGGTCATATGTCACCCAACATTTTGCAAAAGATCTTATGGCTTTATCATGTACTAATATGAAGAAATAATCAATTTACCTTAAAATAAAACATTTCAGGGGCAATAACTCCAATAAGATGTCGCTGGATTGTCTCAGACCAAATGTATCATATCTTCATCACAATATAACAAACATTTTGCACTTGTTCTTTAATATATAACATTAAAAATATCGGAGAGAATGCAAAAACAAGCAAAAGACAAAATTCAGAACATGACCTTGACCTTTGACCTTGACCTCATTTTCGAAGTTAGGATCCAAGGATCTTAAATAAAAAGACTATAGGTTTATACGGCTTACAGTTTATGAGTAACAAAAACATAACGACAAATTTATTTGATAAAGGTAGATAACTCCTATAAAATTTCATCGAATCGCTTCGATCCAAATTAGCCAAAAATTCCTGAGGATGTAACGAACAATTTGTAAAAAGAATTTTGTCGATATCTTTTTTTTTGTTACGAAGGAGATGCACACAGATGATAAACAGTGAATAGGGAGATAACTCTTACAAAGAAAAGCGTTCGGCTTAGCAGGGTGAAATTTATAAGCGCATAAACTATACGATACAATATGAGAAATATCTAAGCGACATATTGCGAAACAAACATTTATCACAAGAACAAAATTTGGCGGAAGAAAAAAAAAAAAAAAAAAAAAAATAATAATAATAATCAGAACAAACACAATAGGTCTTTCCACAGAAAAGTGGAAAGACCTAATTATGAATTAATTTCAGAATTTAGTAACCTTGTTAGGTAAAGTATACTCTGAGTTTTTATATGCATCTCTAGTGGGTAGATTCCTAGCTCTGTTCTCACGGCTATGTTTGATGAAGATTTTCTTGTTTCTAGGATAAACTTACAGAGAGACAAATGCAATTTTTCTAAACATGATTTATCGGTAAAATTAAGGAGTCTATATTTGTTTTGGATATATTTGCACGTTTTTCTGCTCTAAATTTTGAAACATATGTATCCATATAAGTTATTTCTGAATTGTAAGTGGCTATTGGTTTAACTATAGAGTCAAAAAGACTGCAAGCTACTTTAACTTGCAGATTATTTAAAGAACCAGTATAAGTTTTAATGGCAAACATTACTTTCCTTGTATTATTTACAAGTTCTTCAGAGCTATGCAATAAGTTTCAATTTGTTTTTACAAGAATTCCAAGAAATGAATATTCAGAGACATTTATCAAATTTTCATTTTTATATTTTGTAAAAGATTATATTTTGAAGGTCTTCTTTACTTTCAGATAATATTAAAAGGTCATCAGCAAATTGTAAAGATCCTACTTTAGTATCAATCAGTTCCAATGGACAGGTTTTTTTTTTCATTTGAAAACTCAGCATCTAAATCATTTATAAATAAATTAAATAAAGTAGAACTCAATGAATCCCCTTGTTTAACCCCTTCTGCGACCTCAAAATATGCTGAATGCCACTCTTGGTGCTTAAAAGCATATTTTGTTTCCTCATACTGTCCTTTAATAATATTAATTATTTTTTTCCCTGCTCCTGCATTATAGAGTTTATAAAGTAAGGCTTTTCTCCAGACAGAATCAAATGCCTTTTATAAATCTACAAAGCGGGCATATATTTTTTTTTATATTTGTGTAAGTATTTGTTTATTAAGGACTTAAGAACAAATATACTATCAGAGGTTCTATGATTTTTCCTAAAGCCAAATTGAGTATTAATGATAGTATTTTCCATCAGTTTAATCAATCTTTCATTCAATACAGCTTAAAACAACTTTGGTAAGCAACTAATCAGGGATATTCTCCTGTAATTATTAGGATCACTTTTTTCTCCTGATTTATGCAATAAAATTAAAAATGAGTAATTCCATATTGATGGGTTAATACCTGTATTCAAAATTAGGTTAAACAGTTGAACAATGCTTTTGATAGGTACGTTTTTACTAAATTTTACTATTTCATTAATAGTGGTATCTGACCCGGGAGCTTTTTCTTTTTTAAGCTTACTAATAACGTTTTTATTGAAGCATCCGTTTCTCTATTAGATGTAATGTTCTTTTCAATATTAACAAGTTGTTTTTCTATTTCCTCTTTCCATTTTATATTTACAAATGTGGGTTTTCCTTGGTCCTGAATATGCTTCGTAATTATTTCTTCGTCTTTTAAAATTTCCGGTACTTCATATAATAATAATGTCAGCATGTTATTTAAACTTGCTTTCAATACATTGTTACTGAGAGTATTCTTTGATATAGTATTATTAGCTCACCGTTCCGAAGGAACTGTGAGCTTTTGCCATCACTTGGCGTCCGTCGTCGTCTGTCGTCGTCCGTCTGGTGTAAACTATTTCAAACATCTTCTCCTCTGAAACTACTGAACCAATTCCAACCAAACTTAAGCTGAATGATGCTTAGGGTATCTAGAATAAAGTTTGTGTTTTATTTACTGTTTCGTCAAATAACATGGCCGCCATGGCTAAAAATAGAACATAGTGGTAAAATGCAGTTTTTGGCTTATATCTCAATAACCAAAGCATTTAGAGCAAATCTGACATGTGGTTAAAGTGTTCATTAGGTGAAGTTCTATCAGCCCTGAAATTTTCAGTTGAATCTGATAACCCATTGATGGGTTGCTGCCACTAAATTGTTAATTTTTAGGAAATTTTGCAGTTTTTGGTTATTATCATGAATACTATTAATGATAAAGATAAACTGTGAACAGCAAAAATGTTCAGCAAGGTAAGATCTACAAATAAGTTCAATGATCAAAATTGTCAATTGACCCCTTAAGGAGTTATTGCCCTTTAAGGACAATTTTACACAATTTGTTTATCATGTTTTCTAACTTGAAAAAATCTTCTTCTCTGAAACTACTGAACTAATTCCAACCAAACTTAAGCTGAATGATTCTAAGGGTATCTAGAATAAAGTTTGTGTTTTATTTTTTGTTTCGTAAAAAAACATGGCCGCCATGCCTAAAAATATAATGTAGGGGTAAAATGCAATTTTTGGCTTGTATCTCAAAAACCAAAGCATTTAGAGCAAATCTGATGAGAGGTAAAAAAAATTATTAGGCCAAGCTCTGTCAACCCTGACATTTTCATATGAATCTAACAAGCCATTGTTGGATTGCTGCCACTTGATTTGTAATTTTAAGGAAATTTTGCAAATTTTGGTTATTATCTTGAATATTATTAATGATAAACTGTAAACAGCAAAAATGTTAAGCAAAGTAAGATCTAAAAATAAGTTCGTATGACCAAAATTGTCAATTGTCCCCTTAAGGAGTTATTGCCCTTTAAAATCAATTTTTCACAATTTGTTCATTTAGTTTGCTTACTTTAAAATATCTTCTCCTTTGAAACTGCTGAATCAATTTCAGCCAAACTTGGGCTGAATGAGTTTCAGAGTATCTAGTATAAATTTTGTATTTTATTTTTTTGTACGTCAAGAAACATAGCCACTATGGCTAAAATGATACATAGGGGTAAAATGCATTTCTTTGATTTTGAAGAAAATATGACAGATACAAAGAAAATTTCAATGGAAGTTTTAAGCCATTCATTAATATATATTGAAAAGCAAAAATAATCATTGATGAAAGATTTAAGCAAAAAATTACAGGTGAGCGATTCAGGCTCTTGAGAGCCTCTTGTTTATTACTGTTTTGCTTTTTAGTTATTTTTTTGTTATCTGTTATTGCGATAAAGTTAAATGTTTTCCTGTGCTGACAGTACCAATACAGTTTTATTCCGCTCATCGAGAATAAAAGGTGATTGAGATTTATAAAGGGTTGAAACCTCGAATGCTGTTGTCTTTATATGTATGTAACAGTTAGTTTTGATTATTATGAAAATAAAGTTGGTTAACCTTTTATTATTTTACATTGTTAAAACGGAAATTTATGTATCAGAGCAAGGATTTGTATAGAGTCTCACTATACAAATCCTTGATCAGAAACATATCGATTAAAAAAAAATCTATGCATTGGTTATTTGCGATTTGAATATTTTGAGACAAATATAAATGATCATATATTTTGTAAGAATTCTTCACTGAACTAGTATATATATTTGTTTAGGGGCCAGCTGAAGGACGCCTCCGGGTGCGGGAATTTCTCGCTGCATTGAAGACCTGTTAGTGACCTTCTGCTGTTGTCTGTTCTATGGTCGGGCTGTTGTCTCTTTGACACATTCCCCATTTCCATTCTCAATTTTATTCAATAATATTTTAGAAAATTTAAGTTATAAATGCATTATATTTTTAATTTTCAGTTATAGTTCAACGTGCCAAAGTTGTAGGCAAACTTTTACCAATTTCTGTAATATAGCCCATTTCATAACGCACCTCCTAATGATAATTACAATTATCCAATCATTACCTGCATTTCATAATGATATTATTATCGAACCATTACATGCATTTCATAATGATGACAAAATATTTAAGATAGGGGAGAGAAAAAACGTGTGCTACTGATTTTAGAGCACATTTAAAACGGTCGTTCATATATTTCTTAAATATCGTGCTAACAACAATTTGAAATATGTGTATGTCTTTTAAAACTTTTTAAAAAACACAATTGGCGGATCAAGGATTAGGCGTTTAAGGCGATGTCAAAACTAAGCGAGGAGTCTGAAGATGTTTTTTTATCTCTCATCATCATCAAAAAATGCATTTCTGTAAATTAATGTTTACTTATTTTGTGTTATATCTCGTCTCACTATGTTTAATATGTACTACCTTTGATAATATTTAGTATGACGATAAATTTTCACTACTCGTACTCTGTAAAGTCTATGTTATAAAGGCACCTACGTTTTAATATTGTATTTATATTGTGTCATAGATCAAACTTATTCGTTTAGTGTATGTTTACTTGTTTTTGTTTAAATGTCTTTATGATCGAGTTAAGCCATTTCAATTGATATTTTATAGTGTGTCTTTTAATGTTGTAATGTTACACTACTGTATGAGGTTAGGGTGAAGTTTGGAGCCTGTTAATACGTTTAAACCCGCTGAATTTTTATGCACCTGTCCTAAGTCACGAGCCTGTTGTTCAGTGGTTGTCGTTTATTGGTGTGGTTCATAGGTGTTTCTCGTTTTTTGTATAGATTAGACCGTTGGTTTTCCTGTTTGAATTGTTTTACACTAGTCATTTTGGGGCCCTTTATAGCTTGCTGTTCGGTGTGAGCCAAGGCTCCGTGTTGAAGACCGTACTTTGACCTATAATTGTTAACTTTTTATACATTGTGACTTGGATGGAGAGTTGTCTCGTTGGTACTCATACCAAATCTTCTTATTTATATGTAATATTACAAGGACAATTTCACTCTATCTTTAAAAAATAGTTTACTTTAGAGACACACCTTCTTAAACTTTTGAATATTGCAGGTTTGGATCACATATTTTAGATGTACAAATATACGGCTCTTAATTGAAACAGGATATTCCTAGGCATGGTAGAATATGTATTTTGTGTAGGAGTAATATTGGTGATGAATTTCATTTGTTATTTAAATGATCTTTTCAAAATATTGTTGATTTAAGGGAGAAGTTTCTATCGAGCTACTACATAGTGAATCGTAATTATAAAAAAATGGAAGGTCTTTCAATATGTAATGTACAGCTGTATAAACTACTTTTTGTTATTATAAAAAAACAAAAATGTAAATACGTTTTAAAATGTTGAAATATATATATTTATATACATGTGTTATTTCTTCATGCTATATCATATGTATATACATGTAATTGATACCAGGGGGGTGATAATTTTTTTTCATTCGTTGCTACGCATGCTTATTTTTGTCACTTTTCTACAAATTTGTCTCCTGCATTTTGTATTGCAGAATATTCGTTTTTATCCTGTATTGTGCAAAGTGATTTATTTTCAGTTCGTACCAGACTAATTTATTCATTTTCAAAATCCCCCTCCCGAACACCAAATGATCGCCCCCTTAGCTACATATGAACATTCATAATCAAATCATTTTTTTTTACAATGACTTCATTGTAATTGTTTTATTTTAACTATACACATAATAATTTGCATATCATAGAAGTTAAATGAAAATGGAATACTTCTATGATTATATATATATTTAAAGAAATCGTTATTGAAATGCATATTTACTCTCCCCACACAAAAAAAAAAACAGGCATGCAAACTCAAAAGCAAAATATAGATAAAACATAAATATTAGAAATTTAAGATAAGCAATTTTTATATACTGTTAGTTGTGATACCATTATATTCAAATAACAAACTTATGAGCACAATCGTACAACGAATACTTGCTTTACTAAGCAGCATAAAAAAAGCCTCAAATAATAATTTGTGTAAATGTTTACTATAGGCATCATATAAACAACTGTGGAACATGTGAAAATTATTTTTTATTAAGGATGTTCGCTACTCTTAGTTTTGAATTTTTGCCAGATTTTCGGAATCCTCTGGTTTTATCCATGTTTAGCAATTCAAAAATTTTGTCAACTAACCCCTACTTTTCTTTTCAATTTTTTTCTACATATAGTTTTAAAAGCCATATTTGAAAATCTTACAAAAATCTTGTTATTTTTTCATAGTTTTCAAAAGAGAAAAGCGGAAATATTAAAAGTATGAAAAATCTAGAGAGAATCATTTCCCGCCAAATTTTCAGTGGCTTATATCGCGAAAATAAGCGCACTGACCATTCATTTTTTTCTGCTATTTTAGTTCCTTTATTTATATACTATCATTTTATAACAGTCTTTTAAAAGGCTTGTTATTTTGAAACAGAGTAGCGAACATCCTTAATAACATTCATTAGAGCTGACTAAAGAAATCGCTGGATTTTTCTCGTATTACAAACATTCAAATCATTCATTGTCAATTGAAAATATTTTTCTTTGTTATAGTTAATTGTTTGTGACAAATATTTATATGACAACAAAATAATATGAATTATAAAAAGGAGCAAGTAAAACAAATATGACTGTAATCGCCTATGCTTGCAAAATACTAACGGTTGCATTGTAAACTTGGAAAAGACCAGGGGCCGGTAACAAGAAGCATTCTTATGTCTTACGATTTAAGAGTGTAACAAGACCCAACCTCAGACCTATCTTAGAATGATTGACAGCCCTTAATGTATTGAAAAAGTGCATGATTTAAGAACGATTCTTAAGTCTACCTTAAAGCGATCTTACTAATTCCGGTAACACTTAATCATTCTAAAATTTTGGTCAGTTATTAAGTGTTCTTAAAACAAACTTAGCGACTTGGGGGTGTAACAAGAACAACTCGCAATAGCTTCTCTTGATATTTTTTGTAAGAGTGGTCCCGACTACTCTTAGCTGCACATTCACTTGTTAATAATATAATAAAATGGCGTTGATACTGTATGTATGTCAAAAAGGCTTAACGAACTTTACTGAAACTTTCTGCGAAAAAAATCAAGCGCGATTTTGTGAATGAAAGGGGAAAGAAGATCCTTACGCGGTGCACCCGCGCATGTCAATTGCTTACTGACCCAATAATTTTTTATCACGACCAGTCAACTGATACTGACATTATCAGAGAGTACACATCAAAGGAAAAATGCACAAATTACCGATAAATTGTTATACATGATATTATAGAATTAAATATGTTTTATTACAAAAAATCTGTTCTCAATCTTGTAGACAGATATAACAGGATGTGTCATATCAGTACCAAAGACAACTCTCCATCCAAGTCACAATTTGTAAAAGTAAACCATTATAGGTCGAAGAACGGTCTTCAACACGAAGCCTTGGCTCCCACCAAGTAGCAAGCTATATAGTCTATATCAATCATGACAATAAACATAAACAAATAAAACTATAACAACTATCGCTAACTAATAATCCTGCCTATATGTATAACATGAACTGGTTGCCATCAGAAATGGAAATATAAATATTCCAACTAACAAAAGCATATGTTTACACATGCAACCAAATATAAAGCACTAAATGCAAATACCAATATGAAGCTCTCATCTATAGAACTTACAAAAAAATTGTCAAGATTACAAACCACAACGTAATATATCAAAAGATATAAGAAGCCAGCTGACAACATGTTCTAGAAAATTATTTGCAATTAATATTTCATTCCAAATCAATTACAACAAAACATCTTCTTACAGTATTACTACATCTGGAAATTAGTAACAACAACACTTAACCTGTACCGTCAAAACTAATTGCTTCTTCTAAGACAAAAACCAGATAAGATATTCATCACTTCTATACATATAAGAAGTACTGTTGTACGTTTTTTTTTCTACATTGGCTAGAGGTATAGGGGGAGGGTTGAGATCTCAAAAAACATGTTTAACCCCGCCGCATTTTTGCGCCTGTCCCAAGTCAAGAGCCTCTGGCCTTTGTTGGTCTTGTATCATTTTTAATTTTAGTTTCTTGTGTATAATTTGGAGTTTAGTATGACGTCCATTATCACTGAACTTGTATACATATTTGTTTAGGGGCCAGCTGAAGGACGCCTCCGGGTGCGGGAGTTTCTCGCTGCATTGAAGACCCATTAGTGGCCTTCGGCTGTTGTCTGCTCTATGGTCGGGTTGTTGTCTCTTTGACACATTCCCCATTTCCATTTCCATTCTCAATTTTATATAAGATGTAATATTCTTATATTTGAACGGACTTCTGTAGTAGTCCATTTTGTCAAGCAGTAATCCTCAAAAGTAAATAATACGTTTTTCTTATCAAGTTGATTATAGTAACCTCACAAACTATTACATAACTGTCCAGACACAGTATGCATTTTAAAACTACTTGCATTGTCATAAACAGTAAATAATCACATTCCTCAAAACAAAGATAAAAGTGTTTGTATTGCTACTCTAGCATTTATATATATATATATACTGTCTGAAATGCTGAGAAACTGGGAGAAGTGCTGCAAATGTTGCCTACAGATGCATCATTCATCAACTTTTCACAGTAAGGCAACCGAAAATAACTATAGGATATTTTGCAATGTTACCTGCAAAAGTATGAATGTTATTTACATTCTAGAATGTTTGTGGCCTCCAATATGTTGGTGAGTCAAATCAGCCTTTCCACAAACGCCTCAATGGCCATAGTAGTGATATCTCTAAGAAGCCACTTCTCACAGTTTCTCAGCATTTCAGACAGTCGGGTCACAAACATGATGAGTTTAACCGCATGAAAATCCTAGTGATTGAACAGAACATTCACTGGAGTGATGCCCAGCGACAGGTTCGGGAAAGCTTTTGGATAAAGGAACTTAATGTACATCATACAAACGGCATCAATAAGAAATCCTTTTTTATTTTTCACTCATTTTGGGATGTAAATATACTCAGATACGTATATCTGAGTATTGAGTTTTGTTTTATATTATGATGTGCAAGATTTTGGATTAAATCAATAGACCAAAACTTACCTGTATTACTGGGCTATTTTACAAATACAATCAGTATTGTTAAAATTATTGACACTGACGAAGGCTATTTTTCTTTAGCCAATATATTTATCAACACGATTTAATAACAACATGTTTGTGTAATACCATCTTATATTAGTACCGTTGTGCAAATTTTTAGACTTATATACATATAAGTACAAAAGTATGCAATTTTATCTGGATATAAATATAAATTATAACATATGTGACTATAATTCCTCCTTCCATCATTACCCTGATCCACCAATACTACAACTAAAAACAAGAACCAGGAGAGATTAAAAACACTATATATTCATATTGCTTGGAGTGCAAGATTCCAATAAAAGACCTATACCCACAAACCACCGATCTCGACATAATCAGCTAAAATACGGCAAGCTTTTAAGAAAAGCTATTACTTGTTAGAATGAACCGTTAGAATTCCTTAGGTTAAATGGGTAGTTGATTATTGTGCGCATTTTATCGTTCATTAAAACGTTTGTATGATTCATTTGAGGCGATTCTAATTTCTTTGCGAGGAGCCTAACACGGAGACGCCGGAAAATTATTAAGAACTCGTAACATGAAAACTATTACGATGCAAATTAAGGGGGAAATAAGACCGATCTACGAACAACCTGAGGGAGCTTTGATTTACACTCTTTGAATGATCTTAGGATTATCTTATCTTCCCCTTAATTCAATACTTACGACCTCTCTTTATAAAATTTCTTGTTACCGGCCCCAGGGGTGGTGTTCTCGAAAGTATCCTAAGATTCGTCCTAAGTCATAGATAAGACCAATTTTAGGATGGACTTAGGATCATCTTAGGACACTCTTAAATTGTGTCTCGAAGCTATCTCAGACGCATCTTATGTTAGGACGTCCTAAACATATCCTATGTGCGAAATTTTAAATAGGTAAAGTAATTGTTTGATAAAACATTTATTAAAGACGAAACCAATTAATAAAATTGTTTACGAAATTTTAAAATTACATGTATTTAATTAAATGCATGATTTCAAATGTAATTATAAAATAAGATCAAAAAGGATTGTGATTTAAACTGGAAAACAATTTGTTTTGAAATGAAAATATTGAATTCGTAGTGTCATCGTATCGTAAAACACGAAGTTCAAAGTTTAAAATCATGCACAAATTCTTTAAACGAGTTAATAACCGATGGTGCGTTTCATTTCATGTTCATCTTCACGTAATAAATTGAGAAAAAAGCATGCACAAAGTTAGGATGAAGATATGGTGATCTTAAGACACCTAATTAGGTGTCCTAAAGTTAGGACGAAAAATGTGATATATCCTAAGTTAAGAGAGCTTCGAGAACACGACTTAGGACAAAGACTTGTCATAAGATGGACTTAGGACATGTCCTAATCCCAAGATAGCTTCGAGAACACCACCCCGGATATGGCCAGATATATATCAGACAAAAATAATTTTAATTAAATGTTAGGAAATGACCAATTGTATATGCTACAGACATTTTCTAAATTTAGACATTTTTAGACAAATAAAAATATGAACATTTTGATTGATTGATTGATTGTTGTTCGTTTAACGTCAGTAGCATATATTTCGTGCATATTCAGAAAGAGAACAAATAATAAAAAAATCAATAGCTAAGTTATGCAATAGATTGACCTGGATGAAAGAATCGGTATTTAAACTGCCACTAGAAATGACAGTATATATGATAAGCACCGAAATTTTGCTTTTTAACAGGTCACCTACCGATGCATGAAAGAGTTCTTAACGTGCATGGCACTCTCCCTACATGAGTCACAAGATTAAATTCCCTATTTAGAAAGGATGTGAAATTATAAATCCCACACAACCATACGGATTTCCCGCACTAGGCATGGGTTTTACTGGCTGGTGGAATTTATTTTTAATTGTTAAAACTCTTAACTGGAAATGCAGGCTGTTGAATTCAATATAATTATCAATTATCATAGAATAAACTGCTATATGTTGTGCAATACTAACAGTGGCTCAATATTTCATTCTGTGTTATCATTTCAGGCATTTTGCAAAAATCCTTTTAATTTTCTAGGCATTTTGTTAAATGCCTGAAAAAATCAGTCAATTTATAAAATGCCTATAAATTTTCAGGCATTTATCTAGCAAATATTCGTAACGTACATATCCCTGCATATCAAAATAACGAAAATACGTAATTTAAGGTCGATGCAGAATAATGATTCTAATATATATTCTGTTCCAATCAGCAAAAAGGTTCAAATAGAGTAGTCCTCCTCAGAATTTTCATGAGGCGATTCAAGTTCTTGATCCGAAGACTCCTCAACAGCACCGATTACGACGTTTCCTTTGGTTATTGGCACATCCTCATACAAAATATTGATGGCCATTCCAGGTGGAAGTAAATCGGTTTCTGATTCACTACCATCATTACTTGACGTTTCATCCCTACCATTTGGGAATGCCAATTTCCCACTATTGGTTTCAGGTGAAACGTGTTCGTTTCTCCTTTCTTTACTTTCTTCACATTTTGAAATAAAGAGGAAAGAACCGTTACTTTGGTCGAACAAAACCTCAAGTGATGATTTCCCACTCTTTGTTTCAGTTGATTTCTCTGCACTGCTGTGTTCTCTATTTTCACTTCTGATTTTGAAGGATTTTTCATCGCCGTCACACGAAACTTCAAATGTCTCAGATCCGTTATATGTTTTTGCAGAATCCTCATTTGGAATTCCTTTCTTTTTCTGGACGAAAGAGTATCCAAACTTCTTTCTGTTACGTCTATTTCCCTCTTTTATTTCATTTGTCTCATTGTCGGTTTCACCATTTTTCATATTTATGCTTTCCTTTATTTCAGCATTTCGGCATATCTTATGTTCTTGTTTCTCCTCTTTACCATTCACTAGGACCATTGGTTCTTTTTGCTTTCTGTCCTCAATTTTAATTTCAGGCTTCTGCGGTATCTCTGGTTTCGTTTGTTTTCTTTTTTCCGTTTCTGGTTTCTTTTGCTTTTGCTTTTCTGTCGTTTTTTGTTTTTGGTCTTTTGAATTTGTTTCAGCATTCGAACTGTTTGTTTGGTTTTTTACTCCGTCGCCTTTCTGTTTCGTAACATTAGAACTTTCAATTTGTAAGTTTACTTCTGACAAATGAGAATATGTTGGATCCATGACTTCAGCCCTTGGCTTTAGAAAACATGCGTTGTCGTATTCGGTAACCTCCATATCGACTGTCACATGGTTATACGGATTTGGATCCTCTTCATCATTCGCCAAATTCGCCAAATGCGATTTTGCTCGATTGTGATTAACCATATCATACGATTCTCGATCTTTAAATCGCTTTTCAGATTTTGATGACTGAGAACAGTTTTCGGAGTTCTTTTCGATATTGCAGTATCCATAACTTTTACGATTGGACTCGCAAGATCCTTCGTTAACATATACATTATCGGGTGCTGTTGCAAACAATTGTTCCCCTTGGTCACTGATCGTAGAGTCGTCTATGTTCTTATTGCTGAATAACAAACAAATACTAAGCAAATAAGACAGATGTAAAAGTAATTTGAATTTATCTTATTCTTATTTTAGATGAGATTTTATCATACAAAACTCTGAAAATTTAAAAGAAGAAATATAAAAAACATAATATAAAAAGGAGAGAAGATACCATGGGGATAGTAAAAACCCATAGGTCGAGGAAAAATAGACGACACAATGTCCAAGAAATGTGATTATTTTTATAGAAATGTATTAATTTGAATTGTGAAATTAAGTACAAAACGCATAATTTGCAATTTAGTAGTCAAGACTTGCAGATTATATCACTTTAAAAGATTTTAAGTATTTGAAACACTCTCCTGATTGGTTCTATTGTTAAGGGATGGACCTTCGATTTGGTTTTGATTTTCGCAATTTATCTTTTCGATAAAGGCAAGACAACATTAATAACAAATGCATACGTATGTATGAACAATCTGATTTGGAAATAAAATATAAGTGAAGAATCTGAGTAACTGCTGTATTTACGGATATTTTGTTTTTGGAAAAAGGGGGGGGGGGGTTGAGATGTGTATGTATGTTCAAGTCTAAATGAATGATTCTTTTCACATATTGTCAATATAGACCTTAAGCAATTCATCACATTAGAGGGATTTTTTTTTCATTTGTAGAAGAAAATGGTTATATGCCTTCAATCAATGATTTTGGCATTTCCTTGAGAAAATTCTTAATGAATGCCGAAATTGTGTAATAAAGGATAATTATGATGAGAGGCGTTCTATGGCCCCTTGACTTAAAATAAAAATGAAATTCATCATATTTTTCATAGTAAATATCTGAATTCATTGGAAAAGGATGGCATAACTTGTATGCAGAATAAATTAGTTTTGATATTAGACATTTTGTGAACATTTCAATGATGTTGAATGAAAGATTTATGATACATTTCCCTTTTATGTTATCACTTATGTTTTTTAAGTAAGAATCTAAGCACGGTTAGTTGCGCTTAATCAGAGACTTTCTTTGTTAACTATATTTTGATCTGTCTTATCAAAACAACGGTACGCATAAATGATAAAGTTAGGTCTGAACATAGCCATCGAACATTGGCATATGTATAATGGTGTTGCCTATCTTCTCTCTGAACTATTTCCTTGGAAACTAGCTTCGGTTAAAAAACGAGACACAATAGTTTATGTGTAAGCATCAACAAAACATATTTTCATCAACTGAATGAAATGCTTGCACTGTATACATATTGTGAATTTAATACAACTGTAAAATGACAGCGAGAACGAAGGAGATTTCTGATAACTGACCGCAGTTCACAAGTAGGATGCTTGTTTATTAAATTTGTAATTTTTTTATATAAATTAACTTCCTTTTTGAAACAAATTATGTTTTTTTCAAGAAATTTAGAATCAAATGATTTATAATTAAGAAACCCATGTCCCAAAAAAGTGAATTGTTTGCGGCTTAGACGAAGAGAAAACAATTCTATTGATTTAGTTAAATGATTTGTGTATGAAATTAGAATATTCGGAGGTAAATTAAAAATTTTCCCTATATTTTTTTTTAATATTTTGACACCTTGATGAACATTTTAATATGAGTATTACAGTATATCGTGTAATACCTTGGCGTGGTGTTGCGTTTTGAAACAAAACAACCAATGGAAAATACTAAGGATGCTGTCATAAATCCAGCTGAAAAAAACATCAAGCTGTTGTTTTTTTCTACAAAAGAAAAAAAAAGGATATATATATATATATATTGCGTGAACTTAGAGAGTTCGGGGAAACATTTCACGAGTATATTTGTATATTTTGATAAATAAACGTCAGTAAAGTTGTATATTACAGACCTTCAAGGTAAATTTTCACGATTCAACATTGTATTTTTTTTTATTTCATATCTCTTTTAATCTAAGTGCCATCAGTAAGTTGGTGTGAATGAAGTATATCTGATCTCATTTTTTTGGCAAAATTAGTTAGGATCTGATGTGGCATAATTTGCAACGAAATATGACAAAATGCAATTACATACACTAATGCTGTGAAACGAGGTTATGTAATTCAAGGGTTGGTGTGAAATGGATTCTGTCGATAAAATGCCTTTTACTTAAAACGTGTACTTTTATTCATTAGCATTGTTTTCTATTACTTTTTTTAGCGAAGTCTACAAACTGTAGTTTTTAGCAGAAAACCAAGTATGTGTTATGTTAACATTTTCATAATTGCCTACATTTATTAGATATTTCATTAAAGATTTGAATGCTGTTTTACAAAAGAAATTATACTTATGCAAGACTAAGTTATTACAGCTATTGACAATTTGTGTAATTATCGTTTAAATCCTGTTACAAAACGGACCCCATTCAAAAGCATTGATCGTTAAAAAAGGGGGGGTTCCAACCCCGGAACCCCCCCCCCCCCCCTGGATCCGCCACTGGAAACCACACAGACAAGAACGACGCCGATACTTCAGTCGTGAGCATGAGTTAAAAACTGTCCGTATACAGTTAACGTATGTTTCGGATGTGGTCAAACAGGTCATATTAGACGAGACTGTAATGAAAATAGACACAAAGTAGAATTAACGACAAAAGTGGCTTGATTGCAGAAAGGTAAAAAATGGGGACTACATTAACGAATTGAAAGAGGGACCCAAAGCTCCGGAACAGGACAAATTTTAGGAACCGAATGTTACAGATGACGAGACAACTACTCAACACACAAGTATATTATCATTTGTCACCGAAAATGATAAAAAAAAATGTTGACCAGAAAACCCCCAACACCAACAACTGTGAGTCAATCGTCTTAAGATATCTGACCAGAGAATACTATTAGTTACATAGTGCGCTTGTAACCTAATACGATGTATATGGGGTCAGTAAATTCCATATGGGGTGAGAGCGAAGAACGAATCCCCATATGGAATTTACTGACCCCATATATATCGTATTAGGTCACTAGCACACTGTGTAACGAATTTATCTTGCATGTTACTACAATAGTGGCCTATCAAAGTGATTAAGTCTTCAATACTTGGTATTAGAACCTTCTTCCATTTGTCTATATAAAAACAAATGCCAACAACAACAACTTGTTAGCTTTAAATGTGTTTTATGAATTTATTTCAATCGTTCACCATCTATTTCTTCGTCTGTTGAAACCTTTCAGATTTATCCTCAACACCGTGTTGTTTTTATAAAGGGACGTAACACCACTACTAACCGTGTATTGAAATAAGCCACGCCTACTAACCTAATATGAAATATACACGGTCTCCACGCGGTTACTTTTAACCAATCCTATACCAAGAAATGTACAGGAGGTAAGATAAATAGTAATACATCTGTGTCGTACAACAGAGGGTATTGACCAAATATTGGACAAAGGTAATTGATATAAATTTTGTGTCAATGGTTATTTTCAGTATAGGTACAAATGAAGTCACAACAACAATACGTATAGATTTATTATTATAAACATGGCAAATGCTTTTACTAAACTTAAAATACAATTTCTAAACGTAGACATTAGTATTTCAGCAAACTTCAAAGAAAAAAACAAAGCCTGGTCTAACTGCTACCAAATGTAATCTGAAATCCTAATATGTAAATACATATATAGAAAACGTGTGCTCAAAAGATCAAAGACTGTTTCTGTCGATCTTTTGGTAGAGGCAAATGCATGGATTGCAGCCGAATTAGAAACATGCTTGACAAAAATGACAAATCTTGGGTACATATAAATTCAGAAGACGCATACACATTTCAAACATCAACAACTTTATGAGCAAAGACAGATTAGGCAAGTATAAAACACCAGCTCGGTAGTTTACACACCAATGTCAGCTAAGCGGAAATAATAACCAAAAATACAGAATTCCTTCATGGAAAAAAAATTTGTCAAAAACCTTTGAAATTTACGATAAACGGAATTATTCAGTAAACCCAAAGAAAATATCATTAAAATTAATCCAATATTCGTTCAACTTAATTCAAAATATAGTTATAAACTGTGAAATATAGTAAACAGAATATTCAGTACATTGCGGAATTACCTTGGAGGTGTAATACCACCAATAGTACGTCACATCCGGTTGCATACGAAAAAGGGTCGAAAAAAAATATTCCCTTGAATTTGACAGTTGTAGGATATTAATCCTACATTTCATTGCAGTAAAAAAATTCTGAGTCATAAACGTATATCTTGAGTGTTTTTTTTTATTTGGTGTTTCTATAGAATATTTTGGAACCTTGAGGTTACATGGTTACTAAAGCTTGTACACAGGAAAAAAAGGAGTACACATTTGATTGGTTAACTTCAAGTGATGGCTATTTTCTTATATGCAGTGAAATGTTATGTGAAATTTTGTCTATAGTACTGGACAGGATAAAACTTTACTCATGCCAAGTATTTTTTTTATTTGAAACAAAGATGAATTCTGCACAATTTTTTGAAAAGTGCAAATTTAACAAAGACTAATAGGGGAAAATCAATGGTGGTATTACACCTGGAACAAGATATGGAGAAATTTAATAATAGTAACTGTGAAATATAATAGGATATTCAGTATATTGCGGAATTACCTTGGAACAAGATGTGGAGAAATTCAAATAAAAGTACGTCTGGAAGGAAATCAAACAAAATCAGCTGAAAAATCGTTCATAACATAATTTACATGCACTGAGCAAAACTGTTCAGAATGTGTAAATATGTCTGACGTCATTGTATAATTTGCTAAATAATACAACCGATGTTTAAGAACAGAATTTATAATACAAGGAATGTGCTACCAAAAGAAATACATGATAATTATTTTAATGTCTGTAAAATATGTTGTATATAATACAATTAAGTACAAGTGTAAATATTTAACTTCCAGTCATTTAATATCATATGAAAAACGTGAACTCTGCAATTTATTTATATCTAATCAAATATGCATCTGAAATAAAAGCTATGGTTAACCTTTATACCATAAATATATTACTTTACCTAGTTCGTATCTACCTTCACTTTAAATGTCGAACATTATAAATCCGCAAAAAAGAAATTACTTTGTAGTACTGAATGAAAAACATCGTGAATGTGGCCTACAGAATCACTGGCATACACATCAAAATGTTTTGATTTTCATAATCCATGCATTAAGTACAAAGCTTAGAAGTCGGTAAAGTGCAGGATACTGTGAAATAGAGATAGGGCCACTTTCCCCTGTATTTGGTATTTGTTTCACTCAAAAGGTCAAAATCTAAAATTTGACAAATCCTCCGGCAAATTGGAAATTAAAGAGTCTATACAATAGCTGACTATGCGGTATGGGTTTTGCTCATTATTGAAGGCCGTATGGTGACCTATAGTTGTTAACTGTTGTGTCATTTGGTCTCTGGTGGAGAGTTGTCTCATTGGCAATTATACCACATCTTTTTATTTTCATAATGTCAACATGTTCAAAAATTTTACATATTTCTATGAAATCAAAATGTAACCCAGCGCTACATGTTGCTGCTGAAGGCATTCTGATAGAAAATTGCAAATTTTACATGTTTTTGTACAATTTTGAATCAGAGGACCTCACCTTGACCAAAATCAATTAATTTGTATTCGAAAGACACTTTACTGTTTAACCTGCTACATAATTTCGATCTATGTTGAAGATGTCCTTCTTATACATTTTTTGAAAAATACTCAACATTTGCAAACTTTTGAAAAGGCCCAGGTGTGAAATTAATGTAGGGGAAATTGGTCCTACCACTATTATTTTATATTGTGTCTATTAATGTACTGTTTTAATGCGAGATATTATTGTTTGGATGCTTTTTACTGTATAATGAACTTCCAAGGGTTGCATAAGATATATTGAATATAGGTATTGTTTAATAAATGTAATTTGATCTCTCAAAAGCAAACAATCAAAAACCCAAACCGCACTGTTTTGTAAATAAGCCAAAACGAAGATCGAAACATTAATTCTATAGTTTGGCTGTTTTGTTACATAATTTTCCTTCGTAAGGTAAACCAAGGTTTTTGTTCACATCTGAAGTTGCCAGAACAACAAAATTTTGCATGTTTTAAACAAACTTTGTTTTACATTTAACTGCTTAACAAAAAGATCGTACCACGTGGAATCATATCTCCATATTTGAGATCTTCAAACATATACACGGTTATCCAGAGATTGCCCTCGTATGGGATGTTTTCAGATCTTACACGAGCGATTCTAACGGAGCAAAGTGAAAGATCTGATTTTAATGAGATGCCACTGAAATTTACCTTTCTATAATTTCAGGGATTTTACCAAATCACTTATATTACAAAGTCAATGTAACCTATAATATATTTTGTACATACCTTCTTTATCACAAGGAAAATTGGTAGTAGTTGCATCAGTGTCAGAAATATCTGTAACAGCAATAATTTGACATTGAGGCCAAAAATAATTTAGAATTGTTTGATGTTGCCTACCTACCCATCTAAAAAGCAGCCAACCCGAAAAAGTTTAAGACACAAATCGTTTAAAATTTTTTTTCGTGCTCTAACTTCGATTTCTTGTCTAAAACATGTAACTTATGTTGTTGGCCAAGGCATGGGTAGGCAACATCAAACAAAGAATTTGTTAAGGGTGGCCTGAGGAGTAAAATTTAGCTCCCTATTAAAACACATAGAAAACATGATACAAATTTTATACATTAATATACGTATCGGAATATAAAATGCATGTTAATGAAACTAAGATATATGAGATATGAGGTTCACAGAACATTTCTATCAAGTCCGTCACCAATACAAATACAAACATTACATTCCATACAGAAAATTGTGTGAGTAAACGAGAAAATGTTCTTTATAATTAAAAATATTCAGAAAAAAAATGTGGGGGGGGGGGGGGGGGAGGGGTCGATGTTAATTTTCGTCATGAAGCGAATGAAACTAGTATCAGCAGAATCCTAAACGTTTGTTTCTTATTTCTTTTGACAAGACAATATGCAGTGGATATTGGATAGATATCTAAGATAAATCCTCCACACCTCAATCGTAATGGTACTAATCTTTATTTTCGGAATATGAGATTTATCCGTAAACCATATACTTCTATTTTTGTCATACCTCTATATACTAGTATATGACTTTATCACAACTATTTATGATGTCATAAACACTTATCACCGTCACTCAACAGAAAAAACCTGGAACCTATTTAATTTCACTTCAGGTATATTGATGATGTTCTTTCCATTAACAATCCAATTTTTTTTATTGGGTCCGATTAATATATCCTCATGAACTAGAGATTAAAGAAACCACGAATACAGCTCCATCCGCCTCATTTGTAGACATTTACCTCGAATTTGACAAACAACTGTCATACAAGTGGGAGGTTTAGCTAGCTATAGAGCAAGGTCTAACCCACCATTTCTTCGGAAAATGCCTGTACCAAGTCAAAAATATGGCAATTGTTTTTCATTTGTTCCATTGATTGATAAAGCGTTTGATTTTTGTCAGTTTTTATAGACTTCCTCTTTTAAAATTTGCCTTGTAGATCGGTATTTTTGTTATACTTTTTTGCATTAAGTTAATGCATCCAATTTGCATGGACCGCTTGGTCTTGTGGTAACGTGTTCCTCTCGTGTGTGGAGGATCCTATGTTCGATCCCCGGCCGGGTCGGACGAAAGACTCGAAAAATGGCAACAGTAGTTGCTGCTTCTCTTTTTAACACGCTGTAATTAGGAATAAGATCAAAGACTGTTCGGATGGGAGGGTGATATGTCTGCATGCGGACTTTTACCTTGTGAACTACCATGCTAAAAATTTGGCTCAGCGTTATATGGCCTTCCAAATACCGTTTCGATTCCTAACATCACCGAAGAGACAGTGATTGTCGAAATCCGGATATGGTGTACAAAAATCTTTGCACCTTTGTTTGCGGTATACCATCTTTGCCGCAAGTTTATTGTTTTCTGTTTGGTATTAAATTTATAATTACATGTAAGATCCATTTATTACACCTTGTGATCCGTTTATATGGCAATCGCCAATGGCAGTCAGCAGGGTTTAAGAACATTTGTTGTTCGACCTGTTAGTCAAATGCGTTTTGTTAAAATATACTTTTTCACTTTTTTGGTCTTTTGGAAAATGTTGTTTGTGCTGTATTTAGACCCCTCTAACAAGAAATTTGTTTTGCATGCACACGTATAAAAATTGCGGTTTTTATCCAACGCAATCATAGGTTTGAACGTTGTTTTCAATTTTGACTTGTTTATATATATATATATATATATATATATATTTATTCACAGCCTAGTTATTCTAGTGGTCTAGGGCGCTGGGCACAGTGCAGGCTGTTCGAATTCCGCTCAGGAATGAACAAAAAATTGCAGATCTAACATCGTTGGGCTAAAGGAGAAGGTCCGGTAAGGGCTTATTTTGGCCTAAAATTTTAAGAACATCTTCTTCAGTCGATTCAATTAGTTTTTTTAATAAGATTTGAAATGATTTTGTCATTTAAGTCGCCTTAATTCAAGCTAAGATATGAATAATCTATCAAATATGCCACAAAACGTCACTTTTCGGATGGGTTTTGTCTAAAATGGAAGTGGCCGCATTCGTGTTCAGTCTCAACCTTCATGTATGTTATGTATCATCATCAAATACAACGTATATTTAAATATTCAGACTGAATACAAAAAACGTCTAAAAATTAGCACAAATGCTAAAATTATGAAGATTTCAGTAATTTTGCATGATTAATGATGCTAGTACATGATGAATGTGCATTGCATTGTCAAAAACAGCCTATATTTATGTAACAGAAGTATTCCTCTTTCCAATAAATAGCTAAAATAAAATTGAGAATGGAAATGGGGAATATGTCAAAGAGACAACAACCCGACCAAAGAGCAGACAACAGCCGAAGGCCACCAATGGGTCTTCAATGCAGCGAGAAAATCCCGCACCCGGAGGTGGTCAACAGCTGGCCCCTAAATAAAATTGTGTGCTAGTTCAGTGAAAATGGACATCACACTAAACTCCAAAACATATAAATGAACTAAAATTAAAAAACATACAAGACTAACAAAGGCCAGAGGCTCCTGACTTGGGACAGGCGCAAAAATGCGGCTGGGTTAAACATGTTTAGTGAGATCTCAACCCTCCCCCTATACCTCTAGTCAATGTAGAAAAAAGAAACACATAGCAATACGCACAGTAAAACTCAGTTTAAAAGAAGTCCGAGTCCGATGTCAGAATAGGTAACAAAAGAAACTAAGCAAAATGACAATGATACATAAATGAACAAAGGACTACTAGCAGTTACTGACATGCCAGCTCCAAACCTCAATTAAACTGATTGAAAGATTATGTCTTCATCATATGAAAATCAAGTACAATCCCTCCCGTTAGGGGTTTAGTATCATACCATCATAAAATATATGAGAAGAACATAACCCGTATCATGCCAACAACTGGTTTTAGAATAAATGTGTTTATTTCCGATGCAAAGACCCTATGAGTGAATTAATATTAATACCAAAATATGCAATCCTTAATGACTTGACAACAGTATCGTAACTATATCCTTTCCGAATAAGTCTGTTTAAGGGTTTGGTTAGCTTTTGAGGTGAATGCCGACATTTTTGTGCTTTGTAAAGAATATTACCATAAAATATTGGATGTGAAATACCTGAACGTATAAGATGTCTGCATGTTGATTTATAAAGTTTACATTTTTAATAATTTTTTTGAAAAGCTGCATTTTGGGGGCAAAAAGGGGTCTTACCGGACCTACTCCTTTGAGACGAAGGTTTTATATATATAATATAAATGCAATATAAAGTAAACATGAATTATATTATTGCAGTCATGAAATATATGTAAAAATACATGAAAAATTATGTTGATTCTTCTTTTGAATTAAAAAAAAAAATAGCCGATAAGTTTCACGTGTTCTGGTGATGTAGGATTTAATAATTTAAAAATTTGATATTTTGGTCTTTTGGAAGTGACATAAATTCATCTTTCCATTTTAAATTTCTAAATAGATTTACTCTTAATTTATGATAACTACTATATAAATGTTCCTCGTTTTCAAGATCACGACATAGCCTATCTTCTTTAGGAATTTAAAAATATCCACCCTTTCCAATTTCCAGGTTGTGGTCAGTTATACGGAGCTTGGTGTAACACTTTCTTGTAATAAAATCGTGGTACATTAAGTTAATTCTTTATCTTGACAAAATTTAATATTTTTGTATAAAAATAACTTACTATTTTCATCTGAACTATTTAATTTATTTTCAATTAAAATTTTATATTTGTCTTTTATTTCTCTCTTGATCAGAATCTTGAGTGGTTAAACTTCTTTTAAATTTTTACAATATCAGAACAGGAGAAAGTTTGAGGGGCTATAAGGATTCCATGACCTATTAAATTAAAATGTTTGAGGGGCTGTAAGGATTCCATGACCTATTAAATTAAAATAAAAATGAATAGCAAAACACTCGTCTCCTGCAGAAACACGTACAGACAGCGCAATATAAAGTATTATTACTTCTATAGTGATACAAAAAAGTTATATTGTTGTAAAATCGTGCGTTTTCATATAAATCAATGAACTTCAGTTAAAAAAAATTGAATAAAAACATAAAAGTACTTACTGGTGATCACTAAGATTAATATGACCAAACCAAAACTTATCAACACCGCCATTATTAATTTTTCAAATAACAATATACGGAAATATTTGAGACTAGATCAATATTCATTTTTTAACAAATGAATATATTTCCTGGCAAAATGAAATAATAGTAACACAGAACACGTCTGCTCCTTCATATGTGTATGTGATGGCTGGAACTAATCAAGTCATAGGTCATATAGAGATTTAGAGTAATTTTATATTGTTTTTGATTCAATGAAAAATGCACTCTAAGTAATTATTTGATAGATTGTCAGGGTTTGTGAAAAATCCAAACATTATGGATGTATTATGACAAACCAAGGACGTATAACTAATATACGTCCTTGGACAAACTAACAAAATGTATTAAACGACGAAACCGCTGTACATAATTCGCACTCATGAACCTTAAATTTTTGCGGTCTTTAAACTATTAATACAATGACGATATTATTAAAGTTCTAAAACGACCATCTCCAAGAACTGTGGTGCAACAAGAACATAAATAAAATACGACAGTTTATGTGATGTATCAACTGCCCTACATCACGCCACTTCGAATATCGATTGAACTTATTTATAGGTGTTACAATTTTTCGATTCAAAAGTTCTTAATTAATAGGAAATGAACTTATCGTTGAATTTCTAATATCTTACCACCAAAAAAGTTCATAGAAAGAAGCGAAACAACAAAATAGCTCTTCTTTGATCAAGAGTCTCACAGCTCAAAATACTTTTGATATGCGACGCAATTACTGTGTGTCATCAACAATTGAAATCATTAATTATTATTTTCCATCTTTAATCTGTCAGCATTGGTTAAGGACTATAAACAGTAATGTTTCATGTAACAATATTTGTTTATACAAAGCATATCTAAACATTCTTCTTTTAAATTTGATTAAAAAAAGTTTGATCAATCAAAATAGAAAAAAAAAATATGTAAAAGGCAAGTTCTTCACCGATAATGTCCATGTTTATATATTATTTTAATCTAAGTTATTTTGATAATCTGTCTGTATGTCTTTATTAGAAAAAAAGAAGATGTGGTATGATTACCAATAAGACAACTATCCATCAGAGACCAAATGAAGTAGATATAAGCAACTGTAGGTCACCGCACGGTCTTCAACAATGAACAAAAACCCATACCGTATAGTATGCTATAAGAGATCCAAACATGACAACATGTAAAATGTGGCGGGGGTGAACATGTTTGCAATCGCTAAACCCTCCCCTTAACCTTGAAAGTGATGTAACATTCAACATACTAACACTTCGTATGTCTGCAGGGGGAATGTGCATCTTTGAAAGTCTGACTCTATCGCATACGATAATGTTTATATGACCAATATTTCATGATACAAGGGCTTCTGTTATGCTTTTGTAATTAATAACTATATAACGTGTTTGGTCATAAGATGCATTTAGTTGAGTATTGCATCAAAGAAATAAGTATGTAACATTGATCTATATTTCATACTTCACTAACTTACTTTGAATTTTACGTCTTAGTTTAGATCTTAGATACTTAATAGTCATTTGAAACGAGTTTCTTTTTTTGGAATTATAATGTTAAGTTAATTAGTGAACCAATGCAATTATATATGCGAAACTAAGTCCCCTATGCGCGATTCTTTTCCATTATTACGAATCCATTACATATCATCGACAAAAAATATTTCATTCAGTGAAAACTTTGCCTGCTAATTAACTTTCGTGTTTTATTGCCGATGTTTACCGAATGTGAACTTAATAAGCAATCAACACAGAATCACGGAGCACGTGAAATAGACATTTAATGGATATATATTTTTTGTAATTTTCCATGCGTTTCTATGTGTCAATTAAACTTTGTCATAACAGTTATTAAATGATTTGGCGTATCAAAATTTCCCCCTCAGAATCAATTAATACTATCAACTTCCACGTTTCTTTACCTTTTCTTTCATTACGATTTTCCCTCGCACTTGCGTTGTGCAGTTGCCGAAGTACTAACGAGAGGTCACGTGGTTAAGGTCACTGCATATTTAAGAGATAACTTAGTCCTGGTAAAATGTGTCCGGGCGGACACATATTACTAGTATAAAAAGTCCACAGTTACCGAATTTACTAGTATTTTTAGTACGATGTCAGTAATTTATGTCCCCAGACTAACTTTCCTAGGAATTCATGTCCATGTCATTAATATTCCTAGGAAAAAACGACCATGTCCTTTATTTTACTAAGAAAATGTATAATGATAGAAATCATTTACATGTAAAAAATGGAATTTTTAATTGTTATGTTTAAATGTTGTTTAACAGTCACGGCTGGTAATCTTCACACGCAGAACAATCGGTTCTGCAATGAAAACCGTGAGAGGATGCACTTCCCCTCACGCATTCACAATGTCCTCAATCAGAACCGATCCCCTCACGCATGAAATAATGAAAATTGGCAGTTTATAGATTTATTAGACGTCTATCACCTTCGGACAGCGTACACGCCGCCCAAAACGACATTCAATTCCGTTGACAGAAAAAAAAACTAAATCTGAACTTGTAGGTCTGTAAATAGAACCATCTCAAAATTTAAATGTCACTTTTATCGGCAATTACTCGTGGGACGATTGATTTTGTAGGAGTTTTACTCCATGCACAACAGTAAATGATACATGTGTCTTTTCGTTAAAGTATTCACCACAGCGTAGCATTCTCCGATTTTCAATATTTTAATCAGTTGAATTAGAAAATTGCGATTTAGAAATGTACATACCTTTTGAAGCGGTGACAATTACTCCACTCAAGCATAACCGGAAAATCCTCTCACGGTTTTCATTGCAGAACCAATTGTTCTTCGTGTGTAGATTACCAGCCGTGACGGTTGTGCATTAATGATCATTAAACTTTTAATAAAATTTATGTCCCAGACTAATTTTCCTAGGAATTTATATTCATGTCATCATATGGTAATCAAGTTTATGATCATAATTTTACAAGAAAAGAGAGTCCTAGGAAAATAAGTGCCAGACATATTTTACTAGCTATGGACTTATTTTCGTAGGAAAATTTATCCTGGGACTTGCATTCCCAGTAAAATTATGGTCGTGGACTTGATTACATAGGAAAAAAAGTCCGACGGACAAATTTTACTACCGGATCGAATTTACTGTTACACATACGGAAAAGCTATCGACGAATTGGAGTACGGGAATACAATAATTCAATAGTAGTACATTTCTGAAGGTTTTGATTAGATATAGGATTTTAAAAGAAAGTCAATTTATACGTGTTTTGTAGTAAAACTTAGCCATTCAAGTATATAAAACATTTTTTTTTAAATTTTATGTATCATATGACTTAAAGTGATACAAAATCATCAAACTTGATGTAAAGATGCATCTACGAGATAGTAGTTGCACCTCACGAATTCAGAAAAATCTGACCCACATTTCACTCTTCATTAGTTTATAAGTTTTAATTATCATTTACTAAGTGACTTACAAAACAGTCATTCTCCGAATGAGGTGAGTTTTATTTCGATATCTGTTATTTAAAAGGTTTATTACAGATTACCTTTGTTTGATATAATACCTAAATTATCATTTATCTACCAGTAATTCGAAAATGTCTTGTGAACTAATCGAACACATAGTGATATTTCAAACTAATATAAAAAAAATACGGAGCTGTGATATGATTGCCAATGAGACAACTATCCACCAGAGTCCACAAATAGCGTCGATGTAAGCAACTATAGGACACCGTACGCAATGAGCACAAAATTTGAACAATTCAAACAAGAAAACCATGGCCAGATATATGACAAAAAAAAACAAAAAAACTACAGACAGCAACCAATGATAACCACTGAATAACAAGCTCCAGACTTGGGATATGCTCATGCAGAATGTGGTGGAGTTATAAATGTAAAGATGTTTGCAAGTGCTCAATCCTCACACTATATATGGGGCAGTAGTAACAGCACAACATAAGAACCAAATGTAAATGGTTTAACTCAACAGAGTGATAAATAATAAATAAATAAATAAATAAATAAATAATCTTTATTTCAAGAGGATAATCCCATTAGTTAAAACTAATCTTCCTGAGAGTCCTCAAAATAATAATAACATATTTATAAGTACATACAATATTATAATGATATATTATACACAATATACAATTGTATCTAGATAATAATGAAAAAGCATATTAATTTGCACAATTGATGAAAAATTTGTAACATTTTGTTTTAAAAGATACAAGTGTATTACTCATTTTTATTTCATTTGGTAAACTGTTCCATATTTGAGAACCTGAATATGTAAATGTTTTCTTTAAAAAGTTTGTTTTTGGTTTCGGAAGATTTAATAGTTTTTCATCAGCCGAACGTAAATTATAATTCTGATTACCAATAAAATGAAAGTTTTCTTGTAAATAGTTAGGAACCATATCATTTAATGATTTAAATACAAGTATTGCCTTTTGATATTGAATGCGTTTTTCCACATTTAACCAGTTTAAACTATTAAACAACAAACTGGATGATGTCATTATGTCAGCTTCTACTATAACCTTAGCAGATTTCTTTAATAACTTATTAAGTTTATTTATTCCACTTTCATAGCAACTTCCCCATATATTGCAACAATAATCAAACAATGGCAGAATATAAGCATTAAAATAAATAATACGTATATGCATAGGTAAATATTTTCTTATCTTTTTTAATAAATTGATTCTATTTGATATTGTACATGACATTTTATCTATTTGCTCATTCCAATTTAGGTTTTTGTCGATATATAAACCGAGAAGTTTTTCACAATCTACATTCTCTATTTGTTCATCTGAAATTTTGATATCTAAACTGTTCCCAGTTGAATAAAGCCTCTGTTTTGAACCAATAATCATTGATTTACACTTTTTGGCATTTAGTTTCATACAATTTTGCGATCACCAGTTTTCAATTACATGAATATCATTTTGAAGGTTAGCAGTTAACTGAAGTACATTATTACCTTTACTATGTAATGAAGAATCATCTGCATATAAATCTATTAATGATTTTTTTATGTTCAGTGGTAAATCATTGATATATAAAATAAATAACAGAGGGCCAAGGATAGAGCCTTGTGGTACACCAGTTTTTA